ATAGAAATCAATAAAAGGAGATGTGGGGTATACATCAATAAAACCGGAACCCAACGTCAAAGAAAACAAGAGTACACATGCTGAAACGTCTTTCCCTCTTTACTGACCATTGATTTTATGATGATAGTCCTAAATATAAAGCTTTACTACAACTATCACACAAAATTAACATGATCCAAGAAAAAGAGGTCAAGGTCAGATAAACCAAACTGGAAATACATGTACACCTTACAATCATTCCATACACCAAATATGCTTCAAATATAGTTGACCTATTGCACACAGTATCTAAGAAACAAACTGAACCAGGAAAACTTAACATCGATCAATAACTATGAAAATGTGGTCAAGGTCGGATGAACCCTACCAGACAGACATGTACACCTTACAATCATTACATGCTTTAAATATAGTTGACCTATTCATATAGTATCTAAGAAACAAACTTAACCAGGAAAACTAAAGATTGATCAATGAACCATGAAAATGAGGTCAAGGTCAGATGATAATTGCTAGACAGACAACACACCTTACAATCATTCCATACAACAAATATAGTTGACCTATTGCTTATAATATTAGAATAAATTGCTTCGCCCAGCGCAGCTGGATACGACCGCAGAGGTCCAACCCTGGACAGTTGGGCCAAAAAATTGAAACACAATATTCGCGCTTGATACAGGTCTGAATTTGGATTGTAATTAAATATTTGACCCATAATAGGTTTCTGACACAGAATAATTGGTAGTCAAAGAACTTAGAATTGGTTATATGATTTGAATTTATTTATATTCAATTTCTTGCTTTTGTGCAATACACTATTGACAAAATTGACAACCCCCCCCCCCCCCAAAAAAAAAACAATTTACCCCCCCCCCCCTTTTTGGGGGAAAATTTTTTTTTTTAATTTCTGAAATCTGAAACAATTTCTTTTTTACCAAAAAAAAATCTTTCCCTCAAGATATGGTCATAATATCAATTCAAATTACCCATTTAAATACATCATAAAAGTCTTAAAATAGAAAATGACATACATAATCATGGCTAAAAATTAATATTCCTTAATCAGCATTTTTAAATAGTAACTTCTAAAAATAAATTTACAGCTAATCACCTCAAGACAATACAACATTTCTTTATATATAATTAAAAGCAGTGTAAGGGAGGTAATCCAAACATAACATTGTACTTTTTTTTAATTGTTCATTAACCAGGAAACTCTTGTTTCCCCCTTTTCTGCCCCTAATTCCTAAACGGTTTGAGCCATAACCCCCCAAAGCCAATCCTAACCATCCCTCTGTGGTATGGAAACTTGTGGTATAATTTCAGAGAGATCCATACACCTTTCCACAAGTTATTGTCTAGAAAAATGCTTATTTGGGCCCCCTTTTGGCCCCTAATTCCTAAACTGTTAGGACTATAACCCCCAAAATCAATCCCAACCTTCCTTTTGTGGTTATAAACCTAGTGTTTAAATTTCAAAGATTTCTATTTTCATCTACTTAAAGTTATTGTCCAGAAACCAAATGTCTTCGGACGACGACGTGATACCAATATACGACCGCAAATTTTTGCGGTCGTATAAAAACAGACCAAATAAATGGAGAATGTGTCCCCATGGACACAGATGATGCCCCCGCATGCATACAACATTATAAAGGGACATAACTCAAGACCAATAAAAGTGACACTACCCAAATATGTACTTGATCTTAGTTTTGTGATAATAAGTATTGTGTATAGGTTTCATGTTTGGTTGGGGCAAACTTAAGTTACAGAACGGAAATTAAAAATTTTGCAATTTTTATACGACCGCAAAAAAAATTTTGCGGTCGTATATTGGTATGACGTTGGCGTCGTCGTCGTCGTCGTCCGAAGACACATTGGTTTTTGCACTCTAACTCAGTTAGTTTAAGTGAATGGATCTCTATGAAATTTTACCATAAGGTTCAATACCACAAAAGGAAGGTTGGAATTGATTTTGGGGGTTATGGTACCAACAGTTAAGGAATTAAGGGCCAAAAAGGGGCCAAAAATAAGCATTTTTGTAACTTCCAGATATAACTTGTGTGTTAGTGTATGGATCTCACTGACATTGTACCACAAGGTTCCATATCACAAAGGGAATGCTGGGATTGATTTTGGGGTTTATTGCCTCAAAATTTTAGGAATTAGGGGCAAAAAAAGGGGCAAAAAACAAGCATTTTTCTAGTTTCATGACAATAACTTGTGTGTAAGTGTATGGATCTTTCTGAAATTGTTCTACAAGGTTCCATATCACAAAGGGAAAGCTGGAATTGAGTTTGGGGGTAATTGCCCAAAACGTTTAGGAATAAGGGGCCAAAGAGGGGCCAAAAATAAGCATTTTTCTAGTTTCCAGACAATAACTTGTTTTCAAGTGTATGGATCTCTCTGAAATTGTACTGCAAGGTACCATACCACAAAGGGAATGCTTGGATTGATCTTGGGGGTATTTGCCTCAAAATTTTAGGAATTAGGGGCAAAAAAAGGGGCAAAAAACAAGCATTTTTCTAGTTTCAGGACAATAACTTGTGTGTAAGTGTATGGATCATTATGAAATTGTACTACAAGGTTCCGTATCACAAAGGGAAAACTGGGTTTGAGTTTGGGGGTAATTGCCCTAATCGTTTAGGAATAAGGGGCCAAAAAGGGGCCTAAAAACAAGCATTTTTATAGTTTCCAGACAATAACTTGTGTTCAAGTGTATGGATCTCTCTGAAATTGTACTGCAAGGTACTATACCACAAAGGGAAGGCTGGGATTGAGTTTGGGGGTGATGAATCATAAGGGGTTCAAAAACTTTGGGGGAGGGATTTTTTTTTCCTTTTTTTCCTTTTTTTGTCTTTAAAATTTTCCATTTTAAATTGGTTATTTCTGATTTATATATAAAAGCAAATAATAATGATATGGTTTGAATAGGTAAATTAAAAATTTTTAAGTTCCTATACCACATTCATTCTGTGTCAGAAACCTATGCTGTGTCAAATATTTAATCACAATCCAAATTCAGTGCTGTATCAAGCTTGAATGTTGTGTCCATACTTGCCCCAACTGTTCAGGGTTCGACCTCTGCGGTCGTATCAAGCTGCACCCATGAGCACCCAAATCCAACTTGATCTGTGTTTTATCAGTGGAAGGCAAAATTAAACATTGCATTGTATAAAGCTTTGATTGTAGTTGATTCAACTATAATCATGGACAAAGGAAGATAACTCCAATTTAAAAATAATTACTTGAACAATGACATCATTGATATTTTAACAAAAAAAATAAAAAATTTAGCAATTTTTCAATTTGTAAAGGGGAATAACTCTAGAACAGTAAAAGTGATGCCACCAAAATTCAAACTTGATCAGTGTACTGTGGTAATAAGCATTGTGTATAAGTTTCATAACATTTGGTTGAGGCAAACTTAAGTTAGAGAACGGAAATGAAAAATTTTGCAATTTTTCCATTTATAAAGGGGCATAACTCTAGAACTGTTAAAGTGACGCCACCAAAATTCAAACTTGATCTGTGTTTTGTGGTAATAAGCATTGTGTATAAGTTTGATAACATTTGGTTGAGGCAAACTAAAGTAAGAGAACTGAAACCAATTTTGGGACGTACTGACAGACGGACAAGGGTAAAACTTAATGCCCCCTCCTCTTCTGCGGGGGCATAAAAACAAAAAATTAATATTGAGCAATGAACTGTAAAAATGAGGTCAAGGTCAAATAAAACATGCCAGACTGACATGTACATCGTATAATACTTTCATACACCAAATACAGTTGACCTATTACATACAGTACTAGAAAAACAGACTAAAACACAAAAACTTAACTTTAACCACTGAACCATGAAAATGAGGTCAAGGTCAAATGACACCTGCCAGTTGGACATGTACACCTTACATTCATTCCATACACCATATATAGTAGACCTATTGCTTATAGTATCTGAGATATGGACTTGACCACGAAAACTTAACCTTGTTCACTGATCAATGAAATGAGGTCGAGGTCAAGTGAAAACTGTCTGACAGGCATAAGGACCGTGCAAGGTACGCACATACCAAATATAGTTATCCTATTACTCACAATAAGAGAGAAATTAAGAATACTAAAAATGATAACTTTTTCAAGCATTCTCTGAACCATTAAAATGAGGTCAAGAACAATGGACATATGACAGACGGAAACTTCATAACATATGACATCTATATACAAAGTATGAAGGATCCAGGTCTTCCACCTTCTGAAATATTTAAAAGCGGTTAAAAAGTTTGTTAATGCCATTGAATCACTATCCCTATGTCGAGCTTTCTGTGACAGAAGTCGCAGGCTCGACAAAAACCAAATGACATCAGAAAGCTTGTATAAATCTTTGTATGGTATTATCATGTTTCTGTCTCAATTTTGTGCCAATATAATTTATTAGTCTTTTTTTCTAGATGGATTTTTCTTGTTTTCTCTTGTATTTTTTCTCATTCTGTCTGTCTGTCTTACATAGTTGTTGTTACTGTATTTGTTGCCTGTTCGTTCAATATATTTAGTATTTAAAATTTGAATATTTTTGTTAATCTCTCATGAATTGTTTCACTAAATTTTGTAGCAGTACAACTATAATTCACCATAGGATTGAGTGTCTATTCATCATTGTGTCCTTCTAGAAGATAATTTTTAGCATCTGAGTATTATTGGTTGCTGTCGGACTGACTTTTACCTCATTTCTCCTACCATTTAACCACCTTTTCCTGTTTTCCAATAGGCGAACTAACACTTTCTGGATTTAGCTGAATTGTCTCCAAATGACCCTAGATATGTCTCTGAATAACCTTCTGATGTCATGCAACAATAACTTTTTAAAATTATGATGTTATTTTGCCTGATTTTGTGTGATCTTTAGTAATGGCAGACAAATTTTCATACAACTGTAAATATGTCTTTGCAACTAAACATGGAACTTGTGAACAAAATAAAAAGTTGACATGGATATTATGATGAGGAATGTTTATTTGAGCTGTAATAGAACATCCTCAAATCAGATCATAAATATACAATATATCAAAAACACTCAAATCACTTCTTTTCACTGATGTCATCATTTTTTAAAGGTATTCTGTGTTGATAAATATAAATGAATTATAAAGTTTATAAGTAAGACAACATTGAGATAATAGATAAGTAAATAAATATTTGGATCTCATTTCTCTTTTTTCTATTTCTTCTCTTCAAATTTTAAGAAAAATATTTAAGTAAAATTGTTGGAAAAAAATGGTTGTTACAGTTCTGTGAGAACATTGAAAAGTTTTAAGATTTTAGTTTTTTTTCTTTCATCTATGCTAGTTTTAATAAAATAATACTTAATCTAAAACAAATCCATTAAGGCCACATTATGTTAATTTTCAGATTTTTAGTCACCCATCACCAGAAAAATTGGGTAGGTGATAGGATTTCCTTTTGCAGGGTATTAGGATAACATGCTTAATCGGAATTTCACTCCTTTCTGTTTTTTATTTGTGAATAATTTTCCCATTAAATAACTGGTGGCTATAAAACTACTATGTTTTTCTCAATTTAGACTGTAATCACAAACTTCATAATACAGATCACAATGATTTCCCCCAAGAAAAAATGATACCAATTTGAGATTTGTTCCGTGTTTTATAAGTAGATGTTGATATAAGTTATCTAAGGGAGAGAACTGACTAATAGATGAACATTCAGACATGTGCAAAATGCGAAAGTAGATTCGTACAAAATGGTTTTCAAGGATAACAAAAATAAAATTGATAAAAATTGGGACTTGGCCATTGCAGTGAGGACAGGCAGTCTTAAGGATGGTAAATTAATTTATTGTGACCTTAACATACAGAATTTTCTTCCCCTAATTATGGATTGTTACTATCAAAAGTGATATTAGATTATTAATACACCTATGACCATTTCACTATACAAAAGCTAAATAAATCAATACATGGGATTTCATCTGATAAATAGATGAATTAAACAAAGTACATGTATAATTACAAATACTTTCACATTTAAATATCAGTGCATCCACAAATATTCCAATGTAAATATGTGCATACATAAAATAACACTACAATGTAACCACAGACCATATCCAACAAATTAATATAAAAATTATGATTAACACTTCCCCTACATTTTCTTTTTAAACTGACTTTTTCTTAACAGGTATATACAGAAGACTGGTAATAAAACAGATTCTATGAATCATTTAATTTTAAACTTCATTAGCACAAGGAAAAATAATTGAAACATTTAAAATCAAATTTCTTTGTATGAAAGCTATTTGAGTAGTGTACTTTTTTCTTAAGAATTTTGTGTCATGCTCAATATTGACACAACATTAGAGTGCTTTTCAATCCCTAAATTTCCTCTGACAGCTGTCATATAAGCCATTTTCTTAACCAGTTCAACAACTCACAAGTGAATACCTTTACAAATGTTTCCAAAAACATACTGAAGATCAAAATGTCTTCTCTTGTCATCATTATTCTGATTTTACAAAATGTGAAAAACTCGAACCTCAGGATTAAAAGGATCTTTATTTGTGGAACAAAAGGCAAGTGTTTTAGAGGTTTTTAATTATGTTAATCAATTAAGTGATCATTCTATTTCAATTGGTTTGCCTAAAAAAGTTAGTAATGTATACATGATCTTTTCATATATATGGAATAACAATAAATCATCAGTTAAAAAAAATCTGAGACTTGGAAATCTGTAGAAATGCCAAGTCCTTGTCCAGCCTTTATATCTGTTTCTTACTATGTATCAAGAAAATTTCTATCCAAGACACTGCATGGTCGCTCCTCTTGTATTGAGACACTTCTTAACTATTCAAAAGATGGTATTTTTTTTTTTAATTTTTAAATTTTGGATCAATGCAAAAACCACATAAACTTATCAAATTCAAAACATTTTATTAAAGTTATAAGAAATTCTTATATATTTACAAATGTTTTTTACAGTCAATACAAACTGACTGTCTACATAGCACAATTGTGGTATAGAACAGTTCATATGTAGATATTAATATTATTTTTAATTGTATCTATTCTTATATGATTTAAAGAAATTTTGAACTTTAATCCAATATATACAAAATTTAAACATGAGAACAAATATAAAAAAAAAAGGTTGGAAAATTTAATTCAGAAGGTCAGTCTTAGAAAAATACAAATTGAATATAAATATAAATCAAATTCTACAAAAAGAAGAGCCCACTGGGTTGCAGTAAATTATTTCTATATAAACTAACAACAGCTGATTCTGTATAACACCTAATATAAGAAAAAAGCTTATTTGGCTTTTTTAACAGTTCAACAAACTACTCTGAACTAAAAATAGCCAATTTGTTTCAGGCTGCATGTGGTCAATGGTTTCATATGTTTTGGTATTACCACATCATTAGAAAGAAATACTACCCAACAGGTGCTAATTGGCTAACTTTCACAGTAATTATTGAATTGTCATTATCGGGGATACATTTTCACGTACAATTATAAGAACCAGAACCAGAAAGAGAAGAAATATTACTAAAACAATTCAATGTTTTTAAATACATGTAATTATATTAACCATTCATTTTTAATATTGCCAAAACTAGCAACAGTTAAATTTTCAAGTACAAAAAAAGGCCTATATATCATAACCTGGGCTCATTCCAATTAACTATTGTAAATTAATTATGGTATAAAAATTCTACTTCTATATAACAATATTTTGAAACAGCTAATTAAAATAAGAATATCCAAATCAAATTAAATGCTACTAAAAAAAATAAATGCTATTGAAGCAGATAGAAAAAAACTTTTTTCGTGTCAATAATGAGTCTAGATTAATATGTTTCTAATTAAAAAACTACCTGATGTACATATAAGTTATAAATATAAAATTAAAGAAAAGTCATTAATTTGACTGATATTTTAGAAGATTAAGAGTAAAATATTAACAATCTAAATTTCATTATGTTTAAATCAATTTGAAAAAGTGGGTTAAATAAATGTACATGTATTACCATGTTGTGCAAATATAAGTTATGTAAATAAAAATATAAAACCCATTATTTTATTGGTTACTAATTACAATAACATCAAAAACAATTTTTTTAATGTTTTGGTCCAATTTTTTAAATGTTTTGGTCACTGGACCTCATAAATTTGCCCTTTTCTTGCTCTGTGTGGATCAGTAAGGTTACTACTTCTACACAAGTACAAATTATTCACATATTAAAACCAAAATGGTACCAACAAAAAACAAAATACAAGAAAAATATTTGTGCCATTGTTCACATAGTTTTTTTGCCTTATAATAAATCAATGTTTTATGATTTGTATGTGTAACTGGAATTTTATCTACCTTAGGTGAAAATATACATGAACATGTATGTCAAATATTATTTTCTTTATGAATGTGCAACATTCACCTACAAGACATACACAATTTATGATATTATCTTGTGTACTTCATTCATAAAAGCAACAATGCACCTAAATTTGAGACCTAATGCATATGCTAATTAGCTATAAAAATTGAATGTCTGCCCGTACTATGCTTCAACTGATTTTGTCCTATCAAAAATATTTCATTAAAACAATATCCTTACTTTCTTAAAAACAATAAAATTGTGTTAAATTTGAGAAGATTCTTGTTTTAATACTTTGAACAAATTATTTTCAGATAATCCCCTATAGATTCTAAAGTTGACAAGACCTTACTTATATGTATCTATTTCCCATATAAATCTTGAAAACTCAAAAGCTGAAGTGATGATTTACAAATGAGGGACACAGGACGTCACTACAGACACATGACTAGTTACACAGTATGGACTAGTGCAAAAAGGTGCTCTGTTATAAATATTCACAAAGGAGTAAACTATCTAGAAACTAACCATACCCACAAATGTAATTCATTGAATAAATATTTAAACTTTGCTTTACGAGATTTTACTGATACTAGGCAGTATTCTTCTCATGTAAATGTTAACATTTTTATATGTGAACATTTCCCCCTTATTTTCTTATAATTGATTATTGGTGTTTAAGGCCACTTTCAGCACTATTGGCTGTATCGTGGCGGCCAGTTCAATTGTCGGAGGAAGATGAAGTGCCCAGAGAGAACTATGGACCTTTGGCCGGAAAACTGGCAATCTTAGTCAATAAAGATTAGACTTGAAAGCACTTGCCACATGCAGGGGTCTTACTCACAACCTCAGTGTTGACTGGCTAGTGATTGCTGTAGATGAACTACTTAGACCACACAGCCACCGAGGCACCTATATTTCCCTTAGAAAAATAACCCAAATGTATTAACATATATATGTGCAAATGATATTATGCTATGAGATAACGAAAACTGAGTACAGTGCCTGCAGACAAAATTGTCATTTTTTATTTTAAAATGCCCCCGAAATAAATATTTTTCTCTTATAAAACTCAAAATCCCTCAAATCAATATTGAGGAACAGATTACAGCTGTTAAACATAATATTACAAAAAATGTTACAAAAATGACAGAAAAAATTTAAAATGTTCTTGTCTTCATATTAATAAGCACCTTGGCTTCTTTTTTCCTTTCTTTGGACCTTTTCTTTCTTTCTGTAAAATAAAGGTAAAACATAAATAATACAAAAATTGAATGATAAATCTGAACTTTATCAAGTAATAAGTTATACAATGTATTTTCATGGTCAGTCCTAGCTTATTATTTTTCATGCATACCACCACATGGTGTAGTTTGTTAGGTGTGAAGCTTCATAAAAATCCTCTGAAATTTTACCTTTACAAGGTCAATAACACAGGGAAAAATAAATTGGTGTATTTTAGTTATAATATAATTTTGGATGTACAAATGTAACACATCTTCTGATTGGCTGAAAGTTTTTTATCTATCAGCTCATAGACATAATTTTGTCATGTGACTGTGACTTCATGAACATTTTTTCATAATTTACTCCTTAAAAATGGAATAAGAATCAAATTATAAGAAAAGACTAATATTTTTTCTGTCTAATCGAAATAACCTTAAAAATGTTGTGCAGACTTTTAAATAACCTGCTACGCTACGCAGGTTATTCATTGTGCACCACATTTTTGATGTTATTTCTTCATAGACAGAAAAAATATTACAGTCATTCCTTCAATATCCCTATCAGATGCAAGTCCAGATTTATTTTACTTCATCAATCGTCTCTTCATATGGTGTACTATCCTGGTGTGAATATTTGATGGAATTTTACCAGATGCTTTTGGAAGACTTGGACTTACAAAGTAGGTATCATATCACAGATTTACAATGTAGTTTAAACATATTTAACTTGCATCAACACTATTGATAAGACACAAGTCAAACAGACTTATGAAGTCTTTTTCATTTAATAATTAACAATACAATATATAAGACAATGCATACATTAAATATTATTTCAACATTTGCATAAACTGGACAGAAAATCAAAAAGGCCAAAAGATGAATATCATTAATCATATACATTAGTTAAAACTGTCTGCCCTTAAAGAGTCTTGCAGGAATTAATTTGCTGCATGCACATCTCAGTACACTGTAATCACAGAAGTAAGAAGGAGTTAAGCCAGTTTAAAAGATTAGTTTTAACATACTTTATTTACTTAAACATTCAAACTCATAAGTCGAAAATTAACTGACAACGCCATGGTAAAAAAAGAAAAAGACCAACAGACAAACAACAGTATATAAAACAGAACATAGAAAACTAAAGACTGAGCAGCATGAACCCCACAAAAAACTGGGGGTGATCTCAGGTGCTCTGGAAGGGTCAGCAGATCCTGCTCCACATGTGGCACACAAGTTAATCAAATATACAAAGTCTTCTTCCATGAGAACAAGAATTATGGACAAAGAGGTAATTACAGTATACAAAAAGCTTTACTAATTGCTTATAAATTTTAGGGTTTGATTTTTTTAACCTTTTACATTTACTATGGAGATTTGGACATCTTGAGAATGTTTACTTTATAGACAGCAATAATGTATTCAAGATAAAAGTAGCTACGTTCTTAAATAACTTGACTTACATATTTTCTAATTTCTCTCACTAGAGTATAAAAAGCATCATCAACACCCTGTCTTGTTTTGGCTGAGGTCTCTACATATGGTATATTATAACTATCGGCTACTGGCCTTGCTTGCTTTGCATCTACTGTCCGTGTCGGTAAATCTACTTTATTTCCTACCACTGAAAATAAATGAAAATAAGTTATAGATAATGCATATTTTTCAGGTTTTTCTTGTTGTTTAACACATCCCAGGTATATATAACAAGAATAAATGGGGAATGTGTCCATGGGACACAGATGATGCCCCCGCTTGCATATAATGTAATAAGATAAGATATTTTTTTTTTTTTTTAAGATAAGATATTTTATTTCCAATTATGGGCCCCAAAGGGCATAAACATTACAACATCAATAATTTTTTCATAATACAATACAAACAATGAGATAAAAAAAAAAAAAAAGTTAAACGAGAACTATTTAAGTTCTTAAAGAATACGTAGATAAAGAATCTATAGTATGTTGTTTTTTTTAATACTAATGCATTTTATTGCAAGTGTGGTTGATATAGATAACAAACAAGCAGCCCAAAAAGAAAAAAAAGAAAAATAGATATCCACATATGTATAGTACACAAAAAATTGGATCAATTAAATATATAATAATTAGTTATAAAGGGACATTAATCAAGAACCATAAAAGTGACGCTACCCAAATTTGTACTTGATCTGAGTTTTGTGGTAATGAGTATTGTGTATAAGTTTCATAACATTTGGTTGAGGCAAACTGAAGTTAGAGAACGGAAAGGATACGCCAAATATCAAATCAATATCTTCAAGCATGAGGAAAACAGAAACGAAAAATTCAGCAATTTTTCCATTTTTTAAGGGCATAACTCTAGAACAGTAGAAGTGACGCCATGAAAATTCAATCTTTATCTGTTTTTTGTGGTAATTAGCATTGTGCATAAGTCTCATAACATTTGGTTGAGGCAAACTGAAGTTAGAGAACAGAAACAAATATTTCAGGAATTTTGAAATTTGTAAAGGGGCATTACTCTAGAATGGTAAAAGTGACGCAACCAAAATTCAAATTTGATCTGTGTTTTGTGGTAATAAGCATTGTGTATAAGTTTCATAACATTTGGTTAAGGCAAACTAAAGTTGGAGAACGGAAACAAAAAATTCAGCAATTTTTCCATTTGTAAAGGGGCACAACTCTAGAACTGTTACAGTGATGCCACCAAAATTCAAACTTGATCTGTGTTTTGTGGTAATAAGCATTGTGTATAAGTTTCAAAACATTTGGTTGAGGCAAACTAAAGTAAGAGAACGGAAACGAAAAATTCAGCAATTCTTCCATCTGTAAAGGGGCATAACTCTAGAACGGTAAAAGTGACGCCACCAAAATTCGAACTTGATCTGTGTTTTGTGCTAATAAGCATTGTGTATAAGTTTCATAACATTTGGTTAAGGCAAACTTAAGTTAGAGAAAGGAAACCAATTTTGGGACGTTCGGCCGTACGTACGTATAGACAGACAAGGGTAAAACTTAATGCCCCCTCCGCTACGGCGGGGCATAACAATCTTAAAATATGTACATCTGACTTATATACCATAAAAAATATCATTCTCTGTAAAGATTTGCACGAAATTGTATCCCATTTTATCAATATCATTTAAGTGGGAGATGCTTTCTTACATGTTTAGGTATAACCACCCCCAACCACTCAATTAGAAGGTTAAATAAAACTTACTAATCTAGATATATATATTAGCAATCACTGTCCTGATTCATTATAAATCTTACTGTATAAGTCAGAAACAAGAAACAAATGAATTGTTACAGTGTTAGAAAAATGAAAATGCATGAACTGTCATGAATACAAAATTTGTCTTTATTTTCCTGGCACTACTTTTCCAATACACAAATACACATAAAATAACTTTGTTTACAGTCATTATGACTGATATACTTACAGACCATTGGCACTTCATCTGCATCTTTTACTCTTTTGATCTGAAAAAAGTACATGTAAAGGGTAAATAGTTATAAAAGGTATTCCTCAATTAATGTATTTTAACTTTAACAATTCAAGTTTCCAAAAGTCTATTTCATGATCATGTAATATATACATTATCTATATAATTTAGACTTGTTTATAATTTTTCGTTTGGGCTTGTATCATATTTGCCTTCGGGTTTATATGATCCGTTCATCCTATTTCGACTCTTTCAAAATTCAAGAGTCTATCCTAAATTGAGGTAAATCATATGGCCTTCCAAATACCGTTTCGATTCCTAACATCACTGAAGAGACATTAATTGTCGAAATCCAGATATGGTGTACAAATTTTTGTACCTCATGTTTGCGGTATACCATCTTTTCCGCAGGTTTATTGTTTTCTGTTTGGTAATCAATTAATAATAAGATCCATTTTGTTACATCTGGTGATCTGTTTATTTGGCAATCGCCAATGGCAGTCAGCAGGGTTTAAGAACATCAGTTGTTCGACCTGCTAGTCAAATGCATTTTGTTAAAATATACTTTTTCACTTTTTTGGTCTTTTGGAAAATGTTGTTTGTGCTGTATTTAGACCCCTCTACCAAGAAATTTGTTTTGCATGCACATGTGTAAAAATTGCGGTTTTTATCCAACTCAACCATAGGTTTGAACGTTGTTTTCAATTTAGACTTGTTAATAATCTATATATATTCATCACACTGCAGCCAGACAATACACAAAATGTAGGTGTGGTTGCTGCAAGTAAACAACTCGGTAAACATATTGTTCGGTATCTCAAGTGTATAAATTTACTTTACATTCCATCTGGTTTATCACAGGAATTATTCCCAAATATATGGAGAATCAATGCGTTCATGGGACACAGATGATGCCCCAGCTTGCATATAACATTACAAAGCGACATAATTAGAGTACTGTACAAGTGACATCACCCAAATTCGAACTTGATCTGTGTTTTATGGTAATAAGCACTGTGTATGAGTTTCATAACATTTGGTGGGGCAAACTAAAGGTAATTTTCGTACGGATGGACAAGGGTAACACTAAATGCCCCCTCCGCTGCTGCATGGGCATTTAAAAATGTTAACGTTAATTTTTAAAAATACTGAAATCAATATGAATCATGAGTATTTTTTTTCAGACGATTTTCGAAACCTGATATCATACATTTAGTGGAGTTGTTAGTTTATGATTCAAAATACTATTAGTCTATGCCATGATGGACTTTTGTTGTCTCTAAATTATTGGGTAATTAAAGTTCCATAATAATATCTTCTGGTATATTCTTTTTTACAACTTATGACTTATAAAAAGTTTCTTAAGTTCTGCACTTCAATGGAAAACTAAACACTACACAATATTAAATATAAGTAGCAAGCTTTTAAAAAGTAGACCATAGAGATAACATAGTGAGTTTTTACTTCTTATTTTTGATAGAAAAGTAAAAGACAATCTGATATTGAGGAAAACACTCATCGTATGTAATTCAGATGACCTAATTATATATAAATACATTACAATAGACCTGAAAATTTCAAACTGTTAGAATATATATTTTTTTTTCTTTGTGTCAGTCATATGCTCAAACTAGTACATGTATATATAATACAAAACAGTAACATGGCCACAAGATTTTCTGTAAGTCATGGAAAAATTAAATAAAAGAACAGAGTTTCAATGTTTTTTTTTGCACATATTTTATCTGACCATGGTCCAAGGACAATAACTAAAATGAAAACTTTTTTTTGTTCTTTATAACTTTTTGAAAATATCTTAGAGAAATGAAGGCTTGAGAGCAAATGCAATGCAATTTCCAACATAGTTAATATTTCCAAGGGCCATAACTCCTTAATAAATAATTGATGGGCACTGATTTTCAAACTCATCCAAGACATTGCTAATAAGCTAAAGCTATGATATGAGTTTCATAAAAAAAATTGCAAGACTTATACACATGAGAGCACTAAAGATGCAATTTCCTATATAATTAATGTTTCCAAGGGCATAACTCTTTTTAAAAATAATTGATCGGCACTGATTTTTTAACTCGTCCAAGACATTGCTGATATAAATCTACAATATAAGTTTCATAAAAATCTGGCAAGAATTGTACAAATGAGAGCGCTAACGATGCAATTTTCCATATAATTAATGTTTCCAAGAGCATAACTCTTAAAAATACTTCATCGGTACTGATATTCGAAGTTGTTCTAGACATTGCTGATATAAACCTATCAAATAAGTTTCATAAACTCTGGCAAAAATTGAACACATGAGAGTGCTAACAAGACCGGAGAGACAGACACACAGACGGACAGATGTCCGTCAGGTATTTCTATGTCCCCATCAACGGATGGCGCGGGGGACAAAAACAATGACATTCTTGGCAAGACAATATATTATATATGAGATTTAATTGGTGTTTTGTATCTTGATAGATAGCCCAAGGTGTTAAGCAATAAACATTCTATACATTCCAGTTATATGGTACCTTAGCATCTGTTATTGCAAACCCAATGAAAGTTTTCCACAGTGCCATCTCTATCTTGACCAGGTATTTAAACTTTTGCAAGTTCACCTGTCCTATTGAATGAATACAATAGCTATTTTTCTCTGTGTAGTTTATTCACTGGGACCTTTAAATTTCTTCTAAGAGAAATCTTTCATTCATTGATTAAATTACCTGTGTAAAAAAAAATTCTTATATATAGACAAAAATACTTTTTTTATACTCATTAATTGCGTGTGCTCAATATTAATAATATATTTTCATTCAGTTTAATATAAACATTGATTCAATCATAAAAAGTTGATTTCTGACAAAACTTTCAACATTGTTCCTTTTAAAAAAAAATTTGTTTGATATGAATAAAAACTTGAAAATTATGATGTTCTAATTAAGATCTTCTTAAATGTATACTATAACTAGACAAAAAAAAATCAAATTTCAATAGGAACATTGATAAAACTTTTGTTTGAAATCAACTTTTTATGATTGAATCAATGTTTATATTAAACTGAATGAAAATATATTATTAATATTGAATAAATACATCATCACACGCAGTTATTCAGTATAAAAAAAGTATTTTTGTCTTTTTATAAGAATTTTTTTTTACTCAGGTAAATTAATCAATGAGTGATAGATTTCTCTTAGAAGAAATTTAAAGGTCCCAGTGAATAAACCACACAGAGAAAAATAGCTATTGTATTCATTCAATAGGACAGGTGAACTTGCAAAAGTTTAAATACCTGGTCAAGATAGAGATGGCACTGTGGAAAACTTTCATTGGGTTCGCAATAAAAATCACTATTCCTTCTATTCCCACATGCAAATAACAATAGATGTTTTGATAAATAGTTTGTTTTTATAACAATCAAGGTTAATTAAAAATTCACCTAAGATTTACCTGTATTTTATTTTTTTAAGAAAACATGTTTCTTACAATGTTTAAGTATAATATTAAAAAAAAAATAATTCAATACAATGTTTATTTGTAATATGTTTTTTTCTTCTTCAAAGAAATACTGAAAAATAAAGAATAAGTCAGATAAATAGAAGTAAGATTAAAAAATCATTGAATTTGTAAACTTAAAAAAATGTCATCCGAATAAATAAATTGATGATAGATAATATTATAACAAAATATAATCTTAAGATGTGAAATAATGTTACTTGGACCAATAATCAAAGATGTGAAATAATGGGTGAAAACTGTTCACTTTACTTCTAAGCATGGATAATAAATGGACAGCAATCAGATTTGATTGATTTTATTGCGAACCCAATGAAAGTTTTCCACAGTGCCATCTCTATCTTGACCAGGTATTTAAACTTTTGCAAGTTCACCTGTCCTATTGAATGAATACAATAGCTATTTTTCTCTGTGTAGTTTATTCACTGGGACCTTTAAATTTCTTCTAAGAGAAATCTATCATTCATTGATTAAATTACCTGTGTAAAAAAAAATTCTTATATATAGACAAAAATACTTTTTTTATACTCATTAATTGCGTGTGCTGATGTATTTATTCAATATTAATAATATATTTTCATTCAGTTTAATATAAACATTGATTCAATCATAAAAAGTTGATTTCTAACAAAAGTTTTATCAATGTTCCTATTGAAATTTGATTTTTTTTTGTTTAGTTATAGAATACATTTAAGAAGATCTTAATTTGAAACATCATTATTTTCAAGTTCTTATTCATGTCAAACAAATTTTTTTTTAAAAGGAACAATGCTGAAAGTTTTGTCAGAAATCAAATTTTTATGATTGAATCAATGTTTATATTAAACTGAATGAAAATATATTATTAATATTGAATAACTACATCATCACATGCAATTAATGAGTATAAAAACAGTATTTTTGTCTATATATAAGAAATTTTTTTTACTCAGGTAATTTAATCAATGAATGATAGATTTCTCTTAGAAGAAATTTAAAGGTCCCAGAGAATAAACTACACAGAGAACAATAGCTATTGTATCTATTCAATAGGACAGGTGAACTTGCAAAAGTTTAAATACCTGGTCAAGATAGAGATGGCACTGTGGAAAACTTTCATTGGGTTCGCAATAAAGCAAAACTTATATTTATCTTTAGTTACAAGTTTGACAGAATCTCAGCTGTCTAAATTAAATAATAACATAATCTACCTGTTCTCGATACTGATTAATGTCTTCAAATGATTTTGTATTATTTACAGCAAATACACAAAGGAATCCTTCTCCTGTTCTCATATACTGATCCCTCATAGCACTGAAGAAATAAAATAAAATATAACACAAACTTCATAATAGTGAAATATTTCTGTTTGAATCTCTGATAAAATTTAAATAACTAAGAAAATATGATATTTGTCTTCTTTTTAATTCCAAACATTTATGTAATATCTCCACATTAAAGTTATAGGATTTTACTACTGCTATGTAAAAACTCCACATTAAAGTTATAGGACTTTACTACTTCTATGTAAAAACTCCACATTAAGTTATAGGATTTTACTACTTTAGATGTCAATTTTTATGCTGTTTGACCTAATGGTGTTTCCCTTAAGGTGGTACATAACACTACAGGGAGATAACTCTGTAAAAATCAGCTGAACGTTTTAATCACATTCTATTGTTAAAGAAATATTAAGCTTCTCAATGATCAAAATTAGTGTTTGTCAAACTGCTATAATTATATCCAAATATTTTTCCGATAAAGTGTGTGGTTCAAGTTTTTTGAAATTTTTATATTTTTGTCAAAGGGTCAAAGTAAATATTTTGTCAAAATTTTATGAAAATTAAACGAGCCAAATTAATTTTAGTCAAGGTGTTTGGTACCACCTTAAAACAATCACTTTTGACTTGTGACTTCAAAAGTCTTCTGTTGTAAATCCACAAAATGGTATGATAAAATGCCCTTTACTACTGTGAACAGGGCCTAAAATATAAAATCATCAAAGCCATTGGATCTATATTTTTCATAATCCCCTCTTTCGTTATGCAACTTATTTTCATACTGCAAATCTCTTCATATTTGTATTTTAATTCATATAAACTCTTTGCTAACAAAGCCTTTGTTTCTAGGTTCTTAAGGTAGTGCTGACAGAACCAACCATTATCTGGGCATATATACAAAGTTTGCACAAATAAAATATAAGAAACTATACAGTATGGGTTTTTCTCATTGATGAAGACCATACAGTGACCTACAATTGGTTTTACACGTATCTTTGTTATTTAAACTGTGTTGGATAGTTGTTTCACTGGCAATCATATCACATCTCTTTATTTTTATATTGTTTTTGTACCTGTATTCTTCTTGTCCTGCAGTATCTAGGATATCTAGTAGACATGTTTCTCCATCAATTACCACTTGTTTTCTGTAAGAATCCTCTAAAAGAATACAAAATTTTATTGTGTAAGGGGAGTTAAATCTTGATCAGCAGTATCCATATATTAAATTCTATTGATATTTAACTGCATAAACATGAGAAATGTATATAAAACTGAAATATGATCTTTAAAAATCAATAAAAATGATTATATAAAAGATATCAACACGAACATATGGTCTCTGAAAGTAAATAAGTGTACCTTAATATTCATTAAATTCTGGTGATATGAATAAATTTGCAACAGTTCATTAAAAGTTGGATATAAAAATTTTATTTAAGAAGGACAAACTGATAAAAGTCTAATTAAGAACGTTATACAATACAGAGACATATTAACTGCAAATTGGAACTTTTAAATCAGATGCTAATTTCCACTGTTCCAGTTTCAGACTAATGGTCCAAGGACACAGTTATCGTCCTTCGGTTTTCGTTGTCTACGAATATAGTCCCTAGTGTGAACAGTGTATAACTTGCATTTTTTTTTGATACACTTTCCCAATTTATTTCTTGATATTTTATGCATGAAATATTAAGTAAGGGGATGAAATTACATGTTAAAAAAATTTGGGTGCTGAATCTTTATGTTAAGTAGTGATTCGGTCCAGTTTAAAAAGGGCAAAAATTAGAATGTCGGAAGCTGTCAAACTGAATTTTAGCCCCCCTTAACACAGAATTGTCAATATTTTGAGTTAGAGCTGGTAGAAGTTTCTATAATTTTGATATTATTTGTATCAATAGTAGTACACTACACTGTAAAAATCTTTTTGAGATAGAGCAGGTGCGATTTTTTTAATTTGAATTTATTGTCTAAAAGAAATGCACTACAAAATAACTGTGTTCTCGGGCCTAAGAGATGAATTCCGTAAATGTAGATTCTGTACTTTGGCAACTTTCCTGAATGGTTTTCTGGTTTCAATTTGTCAAACTCAATAAAAGTAAAGGATTTACATCTTTGTTTGACAGAAATTCTGTTAAAATGTCCCATTTTGGCATTATACGGCTAAAATAAGCATTTTAAAGCAGTTTCCATTTTATGCCTAAGAGCCATGCTGACTTCCTATCTGACAGCTTTTTATGTTCCTGATATTTGTGTTTCTATGCTTAAATCAAATTAAATTAACCATTTGTGAACTCGGAATCTAGAGAAAAGTAGATTATCACAGAAAAAATGTGCAGAATATTTGTATTTATGTCCCTGGTTAAACGGCCTGTTTGATGTATGTGAAATGTGAAGAGCTTTGTACATAAAATCTGTAGTCCGTCACAAATATTTCACTAAATCTGTAAAAAAAACACTTTAGAATGATCAGTACACCCTATTCATTTCATATGCTACCATAATTTTCTTCTTTAGGATAGTAAGTGGTTCAAATATATGCCAAATGAGACTAAAACTACATGCAAGTTTTCCATTGAAAAGTGAAAAACTGGTCATCAGACCATACTGTCTGCAAAAAAAAGTTGAATTCAAGAGTCCTTTTGCAATTAGACTTCTTGTATCATGACATCTTAGCATAGAAATGAGCAAAAAGTAACAAATTTCACTTCCTTATAGCCTCTGTGTGCATTTTTATATGTAAATATGGGCTACGGCCTAAATCAACTCTAAATAATTCTCAGTCTTACATGGCCTAAGACCATTTTATACTCATGTGGTATGCTTTTTGTAACTTTTCTTTACATTTAAAGTACATTTAATATATATGGAAGAATAATGTATGGTTAAAAACCTTCAAAAACTTCAAATTGGTTGAAAAAAATGCATGTTTATGTAAGGCTTCCCTTAATTCGAAAATCTCTATTTTCAGGCACAGGCTCATATAAATTTGACTTTTGAATAACTGTAATAAATCTGATAAATCAAATGAGTGTTCCGTTGCTTTTAATACTTATTATATTAAATTCAAGAGTATTTAAAAAGCAAATTTTTGCAATATTTAAATTTTTTAGGCCAAAATCTTGACAGTTGAAAATATTTGATTTAAACGTCAAAAATAAACATCCAAATTTCAATATTAAAATGACCCTAGTTTCTATAATATATATCCTATGGCCATGAAACTTGGCCAACTATCTTAAAATTGCCTAAGCTTAGGTCATGCAAAGTTTTATTAAAATTGGTCAAGTCTTTCTATCCTATTAGGTCCAAGGACACAGTTATCGTCCTTTGGTTTTCGTTGTCTACGAATATAGTCCCTAGTGTGAACAGTGTATAACTTGCATTTTTTTTTGATACACTTTCCCAATTTATTTCTTGATATTTTATGCATGAAATATTAAGGGGATGAAATTACATGTTAAAAAAATTTGGGTGCTGAATCTTTATGTTAAGTAGTGATTCGGTCCAGTTAAAAAAGGGCAAAAATTAGAATGTCGGAAGCTGTCAAACTGAATTTTAGCCCCCCTTAACACAGAATTGTCAATATTTTGAGTTAGAGCTGGTAGAAGTTTCTATAATTTTGATATTATTTGTATCAATAGTAGTACACTACACTGTAAAAATCTTTTTGAGATAGAGCAGGTGCGATTTTTTTAATTTGAATTTATTGTCTAAAAGAAATGCACTACGAAATAACTGTGTTCTCGGGCCTAATATAACATAACAGACTAAATAATGACTGGTACCTAACTGTTACCTACCTATTGTAGGATCATATTCTTCTACAAAACTGAAAAGATAAATAAACCAGATCAATGACTAAGAACCACATGTTACAGTGCCGTAAATAAATAAATCATGTATTTCAAAATGTAATCACAATATGTGTCTGATGTAGTTTCTGTATCATATAGTCACAACGTTATAGATTTAGGACAAGTAAGAGGTTGACATATTGTTTTAACAGCAGAGGTGGGCTTTTTTTTTAGGGGGGACAAGAAGCTGGTTAATGCATAGACTTTTACATGTCCCACTCTAAATGATGTCTAAATGATGTCTAGTAAGTTTTGGGGCCCCAGGCCCCCCTTTTTCAAAATCCTGGATCCACATCTGAACAGGTATATGTTGAACATTAGATTTCTTATGGTTATTTTTGTTGTTGTTAGTTTGCTGTCTCATTGATGTACAGTGTATACCCCACATCTCATTTTATTCAAATTCTACGTATGCATCAACTTTTTTATCAGCTGAGTTTGTAGAATTCCTGTTTCATCTATGCCTATCAAAGATCTCTTCTTTATTTAGATATTTAAATTTCTTCTTAAAATCAATTTTGAAATTCATGTATTACTTCTTTTTTAAACACATATTTCTATTTAGTATAAAAGTGTTTCCTGCAAAGCATGTTTTTCTCCATTAAACTCAAGTGTAAACATATTTGACACACCAGTAATTTCAGTTCATTAAAACTTCAAGCTTATAAATCTGTTATCAAATACCCTCATTACGCAGAAAATAAATCACTGAAAAACAGTTGGAGATTTTTTTCTGTTTTTTATCCAATTTCATTGGGATTGACTCTTCATGTTTTCACGACTAAGAAATTTTTATAAATAAAATAAGAGTGGGCAACTTATTGAATTTCAGGAATTAAATCAAGTATTGTATCATAATTTGTTGCTTTATCACTTTTTGTCTTATTTTGTTATCAAACATTAATTATATCCCACCCTTTGGAAATGTTTATTATATCCCACTCTTTGTCAGATAAATCTGCTTAACAGATTAAGATGAACATAGGTACATGTACAAATAAAACGAATTTGACCTCAACCACAGGTTAACATGTCTGTCCCATGTCAGTAGTTTCTCTAGTTACATATTAGTGTTTTGTGCTTCAAAGAATTTGGCGTTTATGACAGACTATAACTAGTCTCTGTTACCATTGTTACATTTAAAACTTGACATATCAAAAGTATCTATAGACACATGTTTTATGTTTTTTTATGACCGTATCTTGACCACTAGTTTTATTGTCGTGTTTTGGTTGCTCTCATTGATGAGGGTCCTCCATTCTTTTTTTTTAAGATCATTTCTCTCTATCCTTCATCTTTTTTGTCCATTATACTCTATTATTTTTATTTTAACACCCCAATATTATCTTTTCTTTATTTTGTTTGCCTTTTTTTTTCTGTCTTCTTTATTTTCTTAGTCCTTTATTCTGTACCTTTTGCTCATTACTCCCTATTCTGTAGACCCCATCCAGACCCTTATTAATATGCCTTTTTTTTTACTCCTTTCAATCATGAGTTATCAATACAATGCGTTGCTTGTGGCTAGTTGCCATGAAATAACAGCTATTTTTAAGTTTTCAGAATTTTAAAATTATCTAAATATTTGAATACAACTAAAGAGGACAAGACAAGAGTTATATAATATGATCTTTAAACAAACAACTATGCAATGAGTGCATGTCACCTCCCATTTGCAAGCAATCATTAAGTTGTTTATTTCCAGGTTCACAGTGAAAACTTCAGTTGAACAATTGAAATGGAAATGAGATGCGCCAATGCTAATATGAACTACTTACTAAATATCATTGATTTACAATAAGTGGTTCCCCTAAAACAGACCTTAATACCAGCTTTTTCACTCTGTCAAGGTGAGACAAAAATGTCTCATGGAAAAATTTTGATAATGACTAGTAGAAACAAAATTAATTAATGCTACAGGTAGTTTCGGTAAAAGAAGTAGAAAAATGCCCAATATTTATTGAGCAGAGTAATTTTGAAATGGTGTCAAGTCATATCATAGAAATTTAAATGAAAATAGTCCTTGAGGAATCTTACCATAGCTTTTTTAAACATTTAAAATTTGTTTTCCCTTAGGTTTGTTGTTTTTTAGAATGCTAAGTTGCTGTTGACAAGGAAGCGAAATTTAACATTTTTGAAATGAGATATGCCAATGCTTATACAACTGCACACTAAATATTATTGACCTATCACTAGTGGTTCCCCATAAACTGACCTAATCACAAACTAATACATGTAAACTAAGCAAAGTTTCAAAGTCAATAGACCTTGACTGAGGGGGCGGGGCCAAATAATCTCAATGGTAATGAGATGTGCCAATGCTAGTACAACTGCATACCAAATATCACTGACCTACCACTAGTGGTTCCCCATAAACTGACCTAATCACAAACTAATACATGTAAACTAAGCAAAGTTTCAAAGTCAATAGACCTTGACTGAGGGGGCAAGGCCAAATAATCTCTATAGTAATGAGATGTGCCAATGCTAATACAACTGCATACCAAATATCATTGACCTTCCACTAGTGGTTCACCATGAACTAGACCTAATCACAAACTAATACATTGTTGATGCCGCCGCCTCCGCCGGAAACAGCATACGTATGTCTGGCTTTTTGACTCCGTCAATGCGAGACAAAAACAAGTCGACGATCCTGTGACATCAGTCAAGCGAAAATTTATGTATTAACAAAATATCAATTTATAAGAAAATGATTTTAAATCTATGCATTGGTTATTGGAGATTTGATGATTTTAAGAAACGTTTTTCGTAGATTTTAAGTGCTCTCTATACATATGTGTATTTTTTCTTAATTCAGTAATATTTCAGAAAATAAAACTGATAAATGTTTTTTTCCGATTTCTGTTACTATAGTTCAACAAGCCAATGTTGTATGTAAATTTAAACCAACATTTGTGACATAGTGCACTTTAGAAAATTTTTACTGGCAATGTAAAGGTCCTAGAGAACTTTTCTAAAGGGTACAAATTGAAATATGTCATCAAGACTTTAAGCTTCCTTTAGATAACACCAGATCCTTTCAGGTTGTAATTAATTTCCAATAATTAACTGGATTTTAACATGAATAAAAAGGACAATGCCAGGTGAGAAAAGAATTTCTTAGGGCTCCTGATTACATCATCAGTTTACATGTACCTCTTCACCAAAGGTATTTTAAATTTCTCTATTACATTCAGTGTAAAGTATCATCTTTCAGAGCAGACCCATTTATTCTCATTTTTTATGAAAAGTTTTCCTTTGTCGGTATATACATAGGATTTCTCTATTTTCAAGACACTGACAGTAAAACAGATTGACAAGCTTTTTTTTGAACTTTGAAAGGAGTGACTATAGAAGAAAAATAGCAATTATTACTCCAAAAAATCTAATTTCAGAACTGTTCATTGGAACCTCTATCAGTAAAGAAAGAGTAGGATGATTCTACATCCCGTTCTATTTCTTAGGTGTAGTATTATGGCTTACAATGCATGTTGTTCAATGACTGAAGATACACAAATATCTTTCATTTCTTCACTTGGTGACAGTCAGACACACATTTGCACATGAACATATGCTTGCATTTAGGCCATTTCTTTTGCACAGATTTTCAATTAAAGTTTAAAAAACAAAGAGATAATTATATGTATATATAATACCTGTCTGAAAAAATGTGTTAATATAAACTATATCTTTAAGTTCAGCATTCCACAGGCTGTTGTTAATCATGGTAATTGTTTTCAATGTATAATAGAAAGGTCATCTACCTTACAACATGGCTACACTCCACCTTTTTTTTAACATCATTTATGCAAACAATATTGGATGTTAACTTTGTGAACGTAATATTGATCTAGTATCTTTAATTTTTATCTACTTGTGAAGTCTAGGTATAAAAGTATAAGTCTGGGTTAAAAGTATAAGTCTAGGTATAAAAGTATAGCTATGTAAATTATGGACATCTTCTACAAGTAACCCCATTTGTTATAGTTTTCATCATAAATGGCTTACTTCCATAGTATGCAATGATGTGTGTGTACAGAAATGTATGTACCGGTATTATAATTTTATGGCGACAAACTTTTAACAAGATTATAGTCTTCAAAAAATTATACTGACAAAGAATTATTTTCCAATCTTATCACATAATATCTCAAAATTTAAGATAAACATGATTAATACCTAGAAAATCAAGAGTGGTGCTAACCACCCTTTTTAAATAGTCTGTGGTGATCCCTGTTTTTAATTTTACCAAAATGGAATTATTGTAAAGACAGTATCTAATGAAATTTTACAAGTTTAATACCCTGTTTTGTTTTATAGCTTTCTGATGTTGTGAGTCTTTGCTAATTCTTTGTTTCTGTGAATCTGAAGAATTGTGGGTAATTTCATCGTTTGTATAAGATGCAACACTATTGGTTAGATATTCATTAAGACATTGTTAGCCAATCACATTGTTTTGGTTTAACAATATTTCCCAGAATGCATTAGATTTTAAAACCAGACATTGCCAAAGATCCTCAGTGACAGTACACACATGCTACATATTTAAAGTAAAAACAAATCTTAATGTCTTAAAAATCAAGATAACATGAGAATAAAAGTTTTCTTAGATCTAATCTAGGCCTAAATCTTGTATCATTAATTGGGATATTTTTTTGGAGGGGGTCCTAAGATATGTTTCCAAAGTTAAACACTAAAATAAAATATTCATCAAACAAAAAATGTAAGAATTTCAATAATCATAAGTCAAACCCTTTAGATTAATAATTATAATAAAAAATTAAATTTGACCAATATAGTTTAATGAAGGTTAATGACAGAAAAATAAATGGAAAATGTGTCCCCATGGACACAGATGATGCCCCCGCTTGCATACAACATTATAAATGGACATAACTCAAGAACAATAAAAGTGATGCTACCCAAATTTGTACTTGATCTTAGTTTTGTGGTAATAAGTATTGTGTATAGGTTTCATGTTTGGTTGGGGCAAACTTAAGTTACAGAACGGAAACAAAAAATTTTGCAATTTTTCGATTAATAAAGGGGCATAACTCAATAATGATTAAAGTGACACTACCCAAATTCAACTTGATCTGTGTTTTATCAGTGGAAGGCAAAATTAAACATTGCATTGTATAAAGTATTGATTGTAGTTGATTCAACTATAATCATGGACAAAGGAAGATAACTCCAATTTTAAAAATTACTTGAACAATGACATCATTGATATTTTAGAAAAAAAAATAAAGGGGCATAACTCTAGAACAGTAAAAGTGATGCCACCAAAATTCAAACTTGATCTGTGTATTGTGGTAATAAGCATTGTGTATAAGTTTCATAACATTTGGTTGAGGCAAACTTAGAGTTAGAGAACGGAAATGAAAAATTGCAAAATTTTTCCATTTATAAAGCGGCATAACTCTAGAACAGTTAAAGTGATGCCACCAAAATTCAAACTTGATCTGTGTTTTGTGTAATAAGCATTGGGTATAAGTTTGATAACATTTGGTTGAGGCAAACTTAAGTTAGAGAACGAAAACCAATTTTGGGATGTACGGACAGACGGACAAGGGTAAAAATTAATGCCCCCTCCGCTTCGTCAGGGGCATAAAAAATAAACAGTTACATTACATATAGAATTAAGATGAGCAGGATCAAAACATCAAATAATGTAAAAGTTTAATGGCCTTCTTGCTTGATTCCAGATCAATAGATTATTGTACATGTGTTTTAATTCACTTGGTAACACAGACAAAATACAGTGTAAATTTCATTTGATACCCCCAGTTCTAATGTCAAATGATTTATTGCAATTAATATTAACAGATTGATTTTTTAATTCTTTATGCTTATCATCATAATGGTGTTCATCTGTAATACTATATTTTTATTTTAATTTGTCTTCTTTTTTCATTTTTAGGTGCCGAAACAATTTAATTTCCAATATTAACTAGTCACTAGAAATATCACTAGACCAGACTATCCTAATTTACTGTACTGCATTGTTGACAATAGTTTGGTAAGAATAAGCGACTGATTATGACCTGGATTAGTATACATATTAGGCCAAAAATAAAATCTAAATTGTTTGATGTTGCCTACCTTAACCCACCTAAAAAGCAGCCTCCCCGAAAACATTTTGACACAAAATGTTTCAAATTTTTTTTTTTATATTTTTTTCCTGCTCTAACATAATTTTCTTGTCTAAAACATGATGTAACTTATGTTTTTGGTCAAAAAAAAAAGTAAAATCCCTACCTACCTACCAACCCTACAACTTCCAAGACATGGGTATAGTAAGCAACATCAAACAAGGATTTTTTCAAGGATGGCCTAAGTTCATCTTTAACTTTTTACGTTGTTCTAGCAACAGATTGCATTTAATTGATTGATTGATTGTTGGTTGCTTAACGTCCAGTGGCAAATATTTCATGCATATTCAGGACGAGAACAAATTAACAATAAATACAATAGGTAGGTTCTGTAATAGAGGCGTCTGGGATTGAGGTCGGAGAAATTTAGACTGCCATGGGAAATGAGGGTATATTGGATAGGGACAGAAATTTAGCCTTGCAACAGGTCACCTACGGACTTCTCAAAGAGTTGTTGCAAGGGTTCTTAACGTGCACAGAGCGTGGCACTCTCTTTACACGAGGCATCGGATTTAACGTCCCCATTCTGACCGGACGTGGCTGCAAATTTGTACATCCCGCACAGCCAAACGGACGCCCCACTTTGACGAGGGTTTTACCGCCGGTCAGAGGAAGACCAATGGTGACCATACTTCTATTCCCCAGTCACCCTTGGGGATGATTGCATTTAAAGCTAAGGTTCCAATTGCATGGCCACTTAAACTTACTTCATTCGACAGGTTTTTCATTTTAGAAAAGCAGTAGTTCTGGTCTTTATAGATTATTTATCAATACATGCATATAAAATTGGACAAATTTAGTAGTTGTAGTTATCCAGAAATGCACAAAAAAGTAGGTATATCCCAGAGATGCATCAAATTGTAGCTCACATTCTCGTAAGGTTATTTTTTGATTAAAAACATACATACTTGTATCATTAAAAAGATAATGTATATCATGGCAATTTAATCAAAATACAGATCCCGTGTCCAAGCTTTGCTAACACGGAAGGATCTGTAAATGCTCTGTTCTACTCCTCTGGTTTTGTCGGATTAATACACACCTTCAAAAAATTTGTAAGGGTTCCACAGAACCCAGTGTCTCGCCTACTTTTGCTGTTAATCGCAGGCTCAACAAAAAAGAGGAAAAAAATTAATAAAAATATTCCTCTCTATACTATTTTTTTATTGTAAGTAGCTTCTGTCCAAATTTGGTAAAAATCCAGGATAGTAATAGTTTATGAATCTAATAAATGTTTTAAAAATTTAAACTGCAGACTGTATGTAATGTTAACTGGAAGAAAAACTGAGTCCATTTATAAGTAAAATACGGAAAAAATGGAATAAAATTTCCTTCTAGATACTAGCTTTTAATCATAAACAAGCTTCTGTCCAAGTTTGGTACAAATTACAATCCAGCATAGTTTAAGAAAGTTGTTAAAATTTTAAAAACTTTAACCACAGAGTGAATGTAATGTTAACTGGCAGAAAAACTAAGTCCATTTATAAGTAAAATACGGAACAAATTGAATTTTTTTTTTTACAAAATTTACTTCTGGATACTATCTTATGATCATAAACAAGCTTCTTTCCATGTTTGGTAGAAATCCAGGATAGTTTAAGAAAGTTATCAAAATTTCAAAAACTTTAACCACAGAGTGAATGTAATGTTTCCTGGCAGAAAAACTAAGTCCATTTATAAGTAAAATACGGAAAAAATGGAATTTTTTTTTTACAAAATTTACTTTTGAATATTATCTCATGATCATAAACAAGCTTCTGTCCAAGTTTGGTAGAAATCCAGGATAGTTTAAGAAAATTATTAAAATTTCAAAAACTTTAACCACAGAGTGAATATTTGTGGACGCCGCCGCCGCCGGAATGTAGGATCGCTATGTCTCGCTTTTTCTACAAAAGTCGAAAGCTCGACAAAAATTGAAGGCTGAAATTTCGTTGGCAAATATAAAATTACCAGAACAGAAAGGAGACATGGTAAAATGGGGTATTGTCAGACCTGTGTAAGCATAGCTTGGACAAAGGATCTATATTTCAATCAGATTGTATAACATGGTATATTCTGACTTAAACCTGAAAACATTAGGACTCTACTGAATCATACTGATACTATCACAACACACTATACTCAAATTGACAACTGAATCGTACTGATACCATCATAACACACTATACACAAATTGACAAAGTATTACCGTAGGTGTGCCACATTGATGATCAAGACAGCACAGTATTTTTAAAACATTTTTTTTCACAATAAACCTCGATCATAAAGGAAACAATAAGACCAGTGCTGATTACATTACATATGAAGATTTACCACTCAACTAGACTTTACTACACTAGACTTTAGTCGGAGAGAACATAATGACATTAATGTATTTACTTGATATTGGTTTTGATCTAGCTTTCAGTAAATTTTTGTCTTTTGTTTTTATGTTAGTTATTTTTTGCTTTATGCCAATCTGCCATTTCCAACAAATGTTTCATTACAGTTTGTTCTTATGTTGTGCTGAAAAGTGACATCACGGTCCCAGGTTAGGAGAGGGTTGAGCACTAACAAACATGTTCAACTTTTCCACATTTTGTGCCTGTCCAAAGTCAGGAGTCTGCTCATTGTTGAAGACTGTATGGTGGCCTATAGTTGATTGAAATCCACATAATTTGGACTCTGTGGGATAGTTCTCTCATTGGCAATAATACCAAATCTCCTTATTTTATAAACTTACTGATTCTGTATAAGTTGGATGGTTAATGCACTTTTGCCTACGCCACCAGCTGAAAGAGAGAAATAAACTTACTGATTTTGAATAAGCTGTATTGTCAGGGCACTTTTACCAACACCACCAGCTAAAAGTAAAAAGCAACAGTTAAAGCAACAAATAAAATATAGAATCTTTAAACCCTACATGTAAGTGTGATATGGCACCTACAATGGAACTTAAAAGAAACATTGGTTACACACATATATATTCATGTTAAATTCAACACTGTGTCCAAAATCGGTATCTATATAGTAACTAACCACTGCATTGTCAACCAATCAAATGCCACTATCAGTTACATGTAAAATATATATAGAACAAGCTATATTTAGTCCCCTACGGACGAAGTCGAAGGGGACTTTAGTTTTGCACTCTGTCCGTCTGTCTGTCTATCCGTCAGTCCAGCAAATCAGTTTTCCTCACTTTTTTTCTTCGTGCTTGAAGATATTGATTTGAAATTTGGTATATACTATTATCATGACAAGTTACAGATCAAGTTCGAATTATGTTCCAGTCTGATGATTTTGTGCAGAGTTATGGTCCTTGGACTTAGAAAATTCACTCAAATTATCAGTTTTACGCACTTTTTTTTGCCATGCTTGAAGATGTTGATTTAATAATTGGTATATAGTTTTATCATGACAAGTTACAGGTCAAGTTCGAATTTTGTTCAGGTCTGATGATTTTGTGCAGAGTTATGGTCCTTGGACTAAGAAAATTCACTCCAATAATAAGTTTTCCACACTTTTTTTCGTCATGCTTGAAGATATTGACTTAATATTTTTTATATAGTTTCACTCAAACTCATTTCATATAGAACCATTCAATCTCAAAAGTCAAAAACAAACTGACACAACGCCATGGCACAAAACAAAATAAAATGCTTCGCTGAGCACAGCCAGATACGACCGCAGAGGTCTGACCCTGAACAGTTGGGGCAAGTTTGGACACAATATTCAAACTTGATACTGTCTGAATTTGGATTGTGATCAAATTTTTGACAATATACAGGTTTCTGACACAAAATAAATGTGGTCAAATTAAAGATCTTAAAAATTTGAAATGGGACATTTAATTTACATAGAATGGTCTGATATCCAAAATCTAACGACATGGTTAGATTCAGCATATAAAAAAAACACCAAAAATTTAATTTTATTTGAAATCAAACAAAGTTTAATTTTAGACCCTTCAAACCTTAATATAGACTAATTTGAAAACAGGGCCCAAAATAAAAAATCTAAATGCACAATAAGATTCAGCATATCATACAGCCACAATAATTCAGTTTATGATGAAATCAAACAAAGTTTAATTCTGGACCCTTTTGACCTCAATGTAGACCAATTTAAAAATAGGGCCCACTATCCAAAAAAGTAATACAAGGTTAGAACCCCCAAAAATTTAAGACTTTAAATTTATCCCATTGAAATTGGTTAAAAGATTTGTATTTATTTTCAATTGAAGATTTCTTGCTATTGTGTAATACTGTGCAATTAAAGATTTCTTGCTATTGTGTATAAATACTGTGCTATTGCGCAATACTGTGCAATTGAAGATTTCTTGCTATTGCGCAATACTGTGCAATTAAAGATTTCTAGCTATTGCCCAATACTGTGCTATAGTGCAATACTGTGCAATTGAAGATTACTTGCTATTGCGCAATACTGTGCAATCATTTGAAATTTCAAAAATTTTAAAGAAAAAGAATATGAACCTCCAAATAAAATTGGAAAAATAAAATCCCCCCAAATTTTTTGAACCCCTCCCCCTTGGAGTAATTACCCCCAAATTAATCCCAGCCTTCCCTTTGTGGTATGGAACCTTGTAGTACAATTTAAGAGAGATCCATACACTTAAACACAAGTTACTGTCTGGAAACTGGAAAAATGATTGTCTTTGGCCCCTTTTTTGCCCCCAATTCCTGAACCGTTGGGGCAAAATCCCCAAACTCATTCCCAGCCTTCCCTTTATGATATGGCACCTTGTGGTACAATTTCTGAGAGATCTATACACTAACACACAAGTTATTGTCCAGAAACTACAATAAATTGCTTCGCCAAGCGCATCTGGATACAACCGTAGAGGTCCAACCCTTAACAGTAGGGGCAAAAATGGACACAATATTTGCGCTTGATACAGGTCTGAATTCAAATTGTAATTAAATATTTGACACATAATAGGTTTCTGACACAGAATAACTGTAGTCAAAGAACTTAGAATTGGTTATATGATTTGAATTTATATTGAATTTTTTGCTTTTGTGCAATACACTTTGCTGTTGTGAATTGACCCCCCTCCCCCACAAAAAAAAAAAAAATTACACCCCTTTTTTTTTTGCTTTTGTGCAATACACTATGGTGTTGTGTATTGACCCCCCACCCCCACTTTTTTTTTGCAAAAAAAAATAGTATGTGACGAATTTTAATTTTTAATTTCTGAAATCTGAAATGAGAAGAAATTTATCCCCCACAATTTCTTTAAACCCCCCCCCCCCCAAATTTTTTTTAACCTCCCCTCTTTTTTCCCCCAAAAAAATTCTTAATTCCCTCAAGATATGGTCATAATCTCAATTCAAATTTCCAATGGAGTTTACCCATAATTACCCATTTAAATTTACCATATTGCTAACTTAATCTATTTTATAAAAGAATTTAAAATATGGTGTCAAATCTTTCATATGGATTTTTTTGTAAAAAAAAATATGCAACATTTGCAGATATTTTTACTTGTCTTCCTTTATAAATATGCATTTCTTTATACATAATTTAAAAGCAGTGTAAGGGAGGTAATCAAAACGTTGTGTTTGGATTACCTCCCTTATACTGCTTTAAAATTGTCTGTTGACCATTTCTTTATACGTAATTTAAAAGCAGTGTAAGAGATGTAATTCAAATGATGTGTTGAATTATCTCCCTTACACTGCTTTAAATTATGTTTTGTACTAAAGTTATTGTCCATTAACCAGGACACCCTTGTTTTTCCCCCTTTTTTACCCCTAATTCCTAAACGGTTTGAGCCATAACCCCCCAATGCAAATCCTAACCATCCCTTTGTGGTATGGAAACTTGTGGTATAATTTCAGAGAGATTCATACACCGTTCCACAAATTATTGTCTATAAACAGAAAAATGCTTATTTGGGCCCCTTTTTGGCCCCTAATTCCTGAACTGTTAGGACCATAACCCATAAAATCAATCCCAACCTTCCTTTCGTGGTTATAAACCTTGTGTTTAAATTTCTTAGATTTCTATTTATTAATACTATAGTTATTATCCGGAAACCAACTGTCTTCCTACGTGGACAACGTGATACCAATATACCACCGCAAAAAAATTTTTTCTGTCTTATAAAAATGCTTGTTGTTGGCCCCTTATTCCTAAACTGTTGGTACCATAACCCCCAAAATCAATCCCAACCTTCCTTTTGTGGTATTGAACCTTCTGGTAAAATTTCTTAGTGATCCATTAACTTAAACTAAAGTTATGTCCGGAAACCAAATGTGTCTTCGTACTACGCAGACACCATAGCATTATACGACGCAAAAAATTTTTTGGCTGTCGTATAAAAATGACCACAAGACGGTATACAAAATATAACTTGTAAAACTAAAGATGCGGTCAACATATTCACCAAACTTTGAATTATTAATTACGAGGACATTATCTATAAGGCTATATAGCTGAAAGAGAAGTTAAAGGATAATGCTAGCTTCTCTTCATTCTGTATGAACTAAGACGTCAGCCTCATATGAATAAAGGAACAAGTTGTCAAGATGAGGAGCACAGTTGGTTCAAATGGGATTGTTTGTTGAAAAACATGTCCTTCAAACGTAACAAATGTGTTGTCAGTCAGGAAATCTTGATAATGTCAGTTTCAGAGAATTTTTTGTTTGAATTTTTACTAAGTACAGTCACTGTATGATATACATGTATCCCTCCTTAAGACAAGATACTTGTACATGTGTATTAATGGTTGCCATTCTTTTTCATGAAGCAAAGCAGGAACAATTCTTTCAATTTGTCTTTAAGTTTGGAATGGGAAATACTTGTATAGAACCTGTCTCATATTATTAATAACATGTTAGCTGAAACACAGGTACAAATAAATGGAAAATGTGTCCCCATGGACACAGATAATGCCCCCCCCCCCCCCTTGCATACATTATAAAGGCACATAACTCAAAAACAATAAAAGTGACGCTACACAAATTCGTACTGAATCTGAGTTTTGTGGTAATAAGTATTGTGTATAGGTTTCATAATGTTTGGTTGGGGCAAACTTAAGTTACAGAACTGAAACTAAAAATTTTGCAATTTTTCGATTTATAAAGGGGCATAACTTGATAATGGTTAAAGTGACGCCACCAAAATTCAACTTGATCTGTGTTTTGTGGTAATGAGCATTGTGTATAAGTTTCATAACATTTGGTAGAGGCAAACTTAAGTTAGAGAAAGGAAACCAATTTTGGGACGTACAGATGTACGTAGAGACGGACAAGGGTAAAACTTTATGCCCCTTCCACTACAGCGGGGGCATAAAAATGTTGTACATTTGTACATATGTATTATCTTTTTGGACCTTAGGTTTGTGACATTGGGAATGTTCAAGAAAATATGCATGAATTCAAGTTGTTTATACATGTAGTTTTGTTCAAAGATAGTTACATTTTGTAGTCTGGGAACATGTATAACATATATCATTTACATGTATATAGTCCAATCTCATTTTACACACACCAGTCATGTGATAACACTATATTCATAAGATCTAAGCACATGATGCAGTGTAAGGATTAAAACAACATAATCTGCATGAATTCTCAATTTATGTGTATGTCACCTTACCATAGGTTTCTTGAGATTAGGGGTTAAAAAAACAAAGTGGTAGAATATTTCAATTTACTTAATTTGGCTGTTTTAAAACTAAGCCGATGCACATGTAATACGAAACAACAACTATCTCAGAACTATTCTATTGATTTTACTGAAACATAAAGTCCTCAGGGTCATAGTAATATCACCAAAACATGTACTTATATCAGGTTATTTGGTCATAATGTCTACCAATAATCGGAAAATGTTTTGAGACAAATTCATATACTTTAGTTTCATGACATCTTCTATCAGTACAATTTCACCCTGAAGATTTGTTTTATTCATGTCCCAAATTGAGCAAAACCCTTTTGTTTTACAGCTTTTCAAATCAGAGGCTGATTTTGTGGGAAACATTTGGTTGATTATTTAGGGAATCACTGAAGCATTACCAAGCGGGCCCCCTCTTATGGCAGTCAGTTGTCGCCCCCCCCCCCCCCCCCACTTTACGAAAATTTCTGAATCACCACTGCAAATGTCTTACATGTATAATTCTGTGTGTAAAATTGAGAATGGAAACTAGGAATGTGTCAAAGAGACAACAACCCGACCATAGAACAGACAACAGCCACCAATGGGTCTTCAATGCAGCAAGAAACTCCCACACCCGGAGGCGTCCTTCAGCTGGCCCCTAAACAAATATGTATGTGCCTTAAAAAAAAATAGTTATGGTTCAATAAAGGAAAGATTTTATACAAGAAATACTCGTCAGTTTAAATCAGACTGCTTACTTGGCAAAGGATGCAGACCAACTACATCATCATGTATTATTTTATTTTGGTAAAATTGGCCTTCAAAGAAAAAAATTATTTGAAGATGACACAATTTAAATGGAAAATGGTTAAATATAAATTTATGCCTATACTTATCAATATAATTTTTTTCTGTCCCTTCAAAAGACTGAAAGAAGTACAAGACAAATTCCATTTACGTTACATTTTGGATATGAAATAATCAGGTTATGCACAATATCACTGGCCGCAGGTACACAGGGGATTGTGTAAATGCTCTTTTGTTCCGACGTTGGAAAGTTCCGGGCGGAAAGAACTAACTAGCCGAAAAGTTCCGGAGGAATTTGTTAACTAGTTACTTTGTTCTTCCTCTGGTTTAAAAGTTCCACCGGAACAAAGTGACTAGTTGAAAAGTTCCAACGGAACATATCAACTAGTTAGAAAGTTCCTTTTTGCCAAATTAGTCAAAACCGGAACTAACAAACTAGCCCAAAAGTTCTAGCGGAACTTATCAACCATGCAGAAAGTTCCATTTGGAGAAATGATGCAAATTAAAAGCGCAACATATTATATTTGAACCTTTCAAAGGGAAACCAAAATACTGATTACAAAAGTCAAAAGGAACTTATCAACTAGCCACATGTTCCTCTTTTGCAAATAAGTCAAAACCGGAACTTACAAACTAGCCCAAAAGTTCCAACGGAACTTATCAACCAGTCACAAAGTTCCATTTGGAGAATTGATGCAAAGAACCACATGAGGAGGGGGGTATTCTTCCCTCTCTTGAGGGTACTATGAATACTAAATTTGCATGATAATGCAACTTATTCCGTTTTATGTGAGCTATGAAATACAACTTAAATTTTGCACATTTGTCCCCAAAGAAACCCCTTTCAGTGCGTTGGGTATTCTTGTAAATTAATGATTTGCTCTTATATATATACTGATACTCATTCTTCCCCCTCTTTCTACAAAAAGGACGAAATATGGTATATTCGGAACGATGTAACTAGTTGTTCTGTTCCGCCAGAACTATTCAACTAGCTACATTGTTCCGGGACTTTTCAACTAGGTACTTTTTTCCGGAACTTTTCGACTGCACTCGGAATAAAACAACTAGTTAGAAAGTTCCATCGGAACGAAATAACTAGTTGGAAAGTTTTGCCGGAACAAAGTAACTGACAGAACATAGTGGCTGTTACAATTTCACTTTATGTTAATTATACCCCCAAACAGTTGGACAATTCACATTTATCTATGTATATGATCTTGTAGTACACTGTATTATATGAAAATATATGCATAATATTCAACAGGTTGCACTCTTAAAATACTCAGTCTATATGTTTTGTCATCATGACAATAGTATTTAGTGTTGCTTCTATCACATTTTATTCAGTTATTGTAATATTTCCTAAGACTAAATGCTAGAAATCATTTATGTTCTATACTTATAATTTAAGGGAAAATAGTCATGAATTTTCAATGTGAAGTAAACAATGCTCTCATGGGCGATGTCTGTTTTGGTGTCTTCTGTTCTGAGATACAACAAAAATATAACAGCTGACACACAGTAAATGGCAGTTTGTCATCCTCTTCTTTTATACAATTTATTCAAAATACAAACCTCCAACAACCACAAGCTTGTATTCTGTCATTTGAAAGACCAGTTCATAAATCCACTCAAAATAAGATGCACAAATATTACAAATTTTCACCACACACAAAGATTTTTAACCCAGTGACCCTCCGTTCTTTGAAGCGAGGCACAAAACAGGCAGTTATGACCCATTTTTTCTCAGTCGCATTTTATATACCCCACAATTAGTTTGAAACGTAAGGGATAAATTGTCATTTACCAAATGAAAATGGTCGTATTTCTTAGATAACAAGGATTTTCATTTAATTGTTTTTCTGTTTTGATTATTAGTATTTTAAATACACATTAAAACTTTTAAAAATCAATTTTATTCATCTAAAGAAAATATGGAATTTAACAGCAATCTGTTCAACGGTTTTCAAGGGGTTACCGTGCTATAAATAGAAAATTATTTTGATTAAAAATAGTAACACATAGTCTCACTTGTTGATTCGTCGGTTTTTTCGGAAGCTTTGAATCATTATCCACACCAACGAAAAAAATGAATGAGATCAATGTGTATTTTTTCATAACTAATAAATCATTAGAGTTGAGGATCACGCTGATAAAAAAATTATCAATCAATTTTAAAACTGTGATTCCTTCAAGGTGCCCCATTTTTGAGGTCTTTATCATTCTTGCGCTTGTTCTTTTCGTGGTTTTTATACAATACAAGCATCTTTCCAACAACGATTTCTTTTGGCCGGGCTGCCTCGGTGCTTTCCGTGACTGAAGACCCCAGAAAGAAGATAACTCAAAATTTCAAAGTGCGTGGCTTTCGGACTCCACTTTATGTAGGTATTCCGAGTGATGCCGATTTGCTGTTTCACTTTTTCTGTTGTGATCACATAAAATTTTATGAAAACATCGGAAAAAATGACGTCTAAACCCTGCAACATCATTTCCTTGAAAGAAGGAAATCAAAATGGTGGGCGTCACATTTCTTCCCGCGTCCATAATGTCCAGAGTACAACTATTGTCCTTTTGAAGCGGGAATAATCTCTACTGTTTTTTTGTTTTGAAACTTTTACTTTTAATACTTATAAATATACAAGGATTCGAACAATGATTTTCCCCTTTTGGGCTTTTAACCTTACCTGAGTCACTTCTTCTCTAAAGTTCCCTTAGTCCAAATATAATTGTGAAGTAAGAAATGAGAAAATGCATCAGATCATGTCTGATAATTTCTGTCATTATGATTATTGCAAATAAAAATAAAAAAAGGAAAAGCGTGGGAAATTCAGTTGCAACTTTATTTGAAGATCAATGAAAACAGTTCCATATGGCACCCCACATAATTAACTTAAGATGTCATTGCGTCATATTATGGAACTCTTGTGTTTCACCATATCTTTTGGTTAAAAATTTATTCTAAGTACAGACAAAAAGATTTAAAAATAATTATTTAGAATGTAAGTACATGTAGATACCTTGTAAGCATCTCTTGTTGAAACATTTGTTTTTGTTTGTCAATTACATATATGTACTTAGTAGTCCTATAACATGACTTCAGGGTCATTATTTTCTATTTCTGTTTATTTCTGATATTTTCTCTTGAGTACTTTACTTATTTTGCTTTTTTCATTTATATTTTATGTTTTTAATATCAATGTGCCACCCGGCACAGAAATAGCAGAGGCAGCCCGGCCAAAAAAATCTTTTTTGGAAAGATGCTTGTATCGCATTATAAAAAATAAATAAAATATCAGCATGAAAATGTTGAAAACTGAATAATCTGACTTCAATGTGAATATTTGTATAGGATAATTATATGTAAACAAACTCATCATCAATATCAGGATCATAGCCTGATTAATTTAACGATAGACACTGTTCTAAAGAATATAGTTCTATGATAGACCAAATGTAGATTAGATAGATAGACACTGTTCTAAAGAACATAGTTCTATGATAGACCAAATGTAGATTAGATAGATAGACACTGTTCTAAAGGACATAGTTCTATGATAGACCAAATGTAGATAAGATAGATAGACACTGTTCTAAAGGACATAGTTCTATGATAGGCCAAATGTAGATAAGATATCTAGATAGATATTTTGCCCCTTTTAACAGTACAACTTTTTTCTGCAAAACTGATGAAAATATTTGAGAATATCAATTTATATCACTTATACATACATGTAACAAGCCAAAAGTCAAAAATTTATGTTAAGTATTGCATTTACCAGTCAATTAATTATATAAAGATAGAGCTCTTGTTTCTACATGTATGTTAATTTGTACGTGTAAATATGAAAAACCTTACTTTAAATAAAGATTACTTACTGTAAAGATTACTTTACTTTATTTACCTAGCTCTGCTAAATGTTTCTATGTAATTAAGATTCCTCGGTTGTAAAATCATCCATCTTATTCTGCAAAGGTTAAAAAACAAATGTTACATTCCAAACCAGTAGCAGGTAGTCCAGTGGTCTTTGGTTGCTGTCTGTTATAATTGGTTTGTTTTACATTTAAATTATACAAAATGTAGTACAAATCAGATGGTTGGTTTTCACTTTTAAATCGTTTCAAATTTTTTTGTCATCTCTGGGCTTTTTATAGCTGACTTTACGGTATGGGGCTTACTCTTTGTTGAAGGCTGTACTGTGACCTATAGTTGTTCACATCTTTGTCCATTGGTCTTTACCTTGTCTCATTGGCAATCAAAGCCAATCATACCAAATCTACTTATATATATTTATCCCATGTTTGATTGAACTTTAAAAGAAATTATAGAAATGCAAGTGATAAGTCTTGCACAGATTATTTACTAAAGCATTATTTATTTTGTATATTTTTCAGAATTGAACTATAATCCTGGATAATAATGACAACTGTAGAGATTACTGCTCCAGTTGGTGGCGACACCAGATTACTTGCTCTTAGAGTGACCCCAGAGCAAGAGATTGCCATTTATGCCTTTTTCCAGATAAATGGATGGACAATAGTTACAGAAGGTATTTCCTTAACAGAATTTAAGAGTTATAGACATGTACATTATTACTTCAGCTTGGCAAAAAGCAATGATGAGGTTTTGCCATCGTTTGGCATCTGTGGTCTGTCATTAACTATTTTCATAGATATTCCTCAAAATTACTGAACCAATTCAAACCAAACTTAACATGATTGATCCTTAAAAGGTGTCTAGATAATACCATTATATTATGGTCCATCAACCAACATGACTATCACAGCTAAAAACAGTACATAGAAGGTAATAAACAAGTAATTATATCAAATCTTGAAAATCATATATTGATACAGATAAAGATAATCTGATTAGAAGCAACATTCTGACAGTAGTAAAACATCTACCCTCTTTTTATTTGTATCAAAATTATATCAGATGAACCCTCAGAGTTCTTTCCCTTGAATGATGATTTTTAGCCTATTTTAGTGTTTTACCTATTTACAAGAAAATTGTAATAGATTGACAGAAACAGTTAACAGCAATACAAGATCTTCAAAAATGCTGATATGACTGAAACCTTAAATTGACCCCTTAGAGGAGTTATTGTCCTGATATGACAACTTATGATGAATTGTAGCATTTTTGTATAGGATCTTGAAAACTATGGTACATGTAGATAAGACAGAACAAGTAAACAGTAAAAATGATCACCAGTACAAATCAACAAAAATGTGGCTATGACATAAAAGGATTAACTGACTCCGGATAAGGGATACATTTTATGGTTGTATTTGGTACATTTCATAGTAGGGACTCATTTTTTGGAATCCTAGAATTGTATTTTAAAAATTATTTTGGTTTCAAAAAGTCATTGTTTTGTAACTACATGTACATGTAAGTATTTTTTGGCTGAATTTAATTTGCTTTGATTTCAGAAATTGCCAAAAAGTGTGAGAATTGTGGGATAGGGATAAATGGTGGAGATGATCCTCCAACATGTCACATCTGCCAAAAAGCCATTGAAAATGCTGAGGCTTTAATGGATGAAACTAACGAGGAAGAGAATGGAGAGATGAGTGATACAGGTGACATCCAGCAGAATCAGCCAACTATAATTCAGGTACAAGACGCTCACGGGAAAAAAATTGTATATGTAGGTAATGCAATGACGGTGGCAAAACAGCCGGCACCCCCTCCACCAGTTAAGACAGAGATTGTCACCACAAACAGTGTTGGTACAGAAACTAGAGTACCTCAATCTGTAGCACCAAAAATATACAATGTCAATAACAGTGCTGAAAATCGTCCATACAAATGTGAACATTGTGGTAAACATTTTCGCAAAAAATCTCATGTTGTTGCTCATGTAAGATATCACAATGGTGAAACATTACCTAAATGTAATGTATGTGGGAAAGAATTCCTTTACAAGCACAATCTGATTTCTCACATGACAATCCACTCTGGAGAAAGACCATTCCACTGTACTGAGTGCCAGAAGACATTCCGTAGGAAAGATGACTTACAGGTTCACATGAGAACACACACAGGTGAACGTCCGTATGTTTGTGACATTTGTGGAAAGGCATTCACGACACAAAACCAGCTTCCTAAACATCGCAGAACACACACTGGTGAAAAACCTTATGAATGCGAGATCTGTCACAAATGTTTTCGTACAAAACCTCATCTGGAGAAGCATTATAGGACTCATAGCGGTGAACGTCCTTATCCCTGTGTCGAATGTGGTAGAGCTTTCTCACAGAATGCACACTTGATGGCACACATGAGAATACATACTGGTGAGAAACCCTATAAATGTGACTTGTGTGATAAAGCATTCAAAGAGAGTAAGACATTAAAGAAACATAAACTTATCCACGAAAATGGCATGCCATATATTTGTACCATCTGTGGAAAAGGTTTTCTTCGATCCCAGAATTTAGATGTCCACATGTGTGTGCACTCTGATGATCTTCCAAAGTATAAACGTAAGTTGTTGATGAAGAAGAAACTACTAGAAGAAATTGAAGCAGAATCTAGTCAGACATTTGACAATTCCAACATTGAAACAGACATAATCACAGAAGAAACAATTGCGGAGGTGGAAACACACATCCATGAAGCTGAACAGGCAGGACAAATTATACAAGTACAGAATGTAGAAGATCATCACATCAAAGAAGAACAAGTTGCTGAAGTTGTTACTGATGGACAAGATGAAAATTCCATCGCGAATAGTCTGTTGACTCTCGTAGAAATGATCACAAGTTCTAATCAAGATGCTCACACAACTACTTCTGCCAATGGTAATTCACATGTTGATCTTTCTAATGTACAGATTGATGACTCGGCACAGAGGCAAAATATCATCATAACTACTTCAGATGGAACACAAATTCAGCAGCAAGATACCGTCATGGAGGATGGAAGTATGCAAGAAGTTAAAACCATCTTTGTTGATGAACATGGCAGAGAAATTGGCACTAGTAATGAAAATGTAGTCATCACATCTATGGGAGATACTCAAGTAACCACAGAACAAGTCATTGACAGTGTTACTGGACAGTATGTAGATGGCAATACATATGTCATGGAAGTAGAATATGTAGAGCAACAGTAAAGGGAATCCATATGGTATGGAAGTAGAATAAGTAGAGGAACAGTAAAGGGAATGTGTATAGCATGGAAGTAGAATATGTAGAGCAACAATTTGTTATCAAGGTGTTTAATGTCAAAAGTTTATCATTATGTTTTAAGACTTTTTTTTATTGTAAATGGCAAATTAGCTACAATTGAAAAAAAATATGTGTTGAAACATTGTATATTTAAAATAAAAATAATATGGATAAATAATGTTACAAGAGCATGAGAATACAATTGCAATAATGCTTAATCATTGTTAACTCATAATGAAAACATTCTGCCAACTGCACAAAAGTCAATCAACAATTAATTTCTTGTTAAATTATACATGTTGCTCCGTGTTGAAGATCGTACTTTGACCTGGTTTACTTTTATAGATTGTGACTTGGATGGAGAGTTGTCTCATTGGCACTCATACCACATCTTCTTATATCTATATATAGTAAGATTTCTTTTTGAAAAAGGGTTAATAATAACAACAACAACAATACTTTATTTTAAGAGGTTTACACAGTTACATTTTTGTAGCTACATTGTATATAACTAATCTTCCCTGAGGCCCTCATTATAGAAAAAGCATAAACAAAAAATGCAAACATATAGTACACATGGTACATGGCATACATTAGTATGAACGTATAATGATATTATGTTCAATACAAGAAGTAATCAGTTGTTATAGGCTATTTAAAATACATCATCTCAGATGGATGAACATTTTTTCATCATAAATGAGTTAACTTTTTATGTATAATGTATACCATAATGGTACAACAGAGAGAATGCTTTTAGACAACCTGGATACAATATCAAACCCATATTATGTTTTTATAACAAAATTTCCTTCCTCTCAGACTGATGGAAAATTCACATAGATTTGTTTTTTAATGTCAATTAGTAAGCTGAATCTATTTAACCTAGAATTTAAAACCACAGAATTTAATGACACACCATGCATACCATGTGAAAGTAATAATTTTTATTTAAGACTTTTCATTGTCTTTAAATGAAGATTTATTAATGTTTTTGATGTTTTAATCCAGTTGGGTTTAGTCAGATACAGTGCACCTCCACTTTGTCTTAACATGCGTCTGGCATACAAAATTTCAATCAATGTGTATAGGATGACTTTATATAGAAGTCTTCTCTTATCAAAACTGGATTAAGTAAAAACAAGGGAAGAATTGATATTCAGTAAAATGAGGATTTGAAAGAATTTTGAATAAATGGAAACATTGTAAGGCATAAAAAGTTTAAAGACATTATGTGTAACCTTTTTAATTAAACTTGTAGACATACATGAATAAATTTTTTAGGGGGAGGAAGGGAGGATTTCAGTTTATTTAAAAGTTAAATTTGCCAACAAGCAGGCAATTGTCGTTCCATTTACCTACAGAAAATGAAAGGATATGGAGTAAATGTACATGGGACAAAATCGCACACAATACATAGAAAACATAGAAAATTACCTACACTTGTCTAGTCTATTGTTGAAGACCATGTATTGACCTCTAGATGTCTTTTTTTTTTTTTAATTGTGTGGTTCGGTTGCTGACTTTTATCCAACATCTTATTTATTTTATTTCTATGAATTAAGACGGCGGTATTTTTAGAGAGTTCAGTATTTGTATTATTAATGAATTTTCATGTAAATATGTTTTTTGTTAAATGAATGTTAATTATAAAGATATAGACCAAAGTTTGGAATGTGTGTGTTTTAGCTGCAAAATTAAGATAGTTAAAACATTAATTTAACTACAGTCAAACCGGTAACTGTTGATTTTTTTTAAGTACATTTTTTTGTACATTGCACTTTGAAATCAACAATCAGAGAATTTTACCTCTGAATAATCCTTTAGAAAATATTAAAGTATTACTGATGACTGTTTCATGACTGTTACTATTGTACATTTGTAATTGTAACACTTTTCAGTAAACTTACAGAATTTCATTCTGTTCATGATAAATCATATATAGTATTTATTTATTGTAAAAAGATAGTGTATATAAGTTGAATACAGTACCAAGCATGTTTTGAATCTTTCTCTTTTTTTTCCTGTTTGCATTCTCATTCAATGTTCATGTAATGTACATGTATATCTACATTTTCTTCTGAATTGGTTATCACAGAGACATAATTTCTGCATAGCTGATCTTCAGTCAAGACAACAGTAAATAAATATATGCAATTTTACTATAATTTTCACTAATTATTTGTCTTTTTTTATTTGACTCTTATATATAATTAATAATATGGGATCCAATGATGTTGTTCTTTTGCATTACACATTGGCAATATAAAGTCACAGCTTTTGCTCATGCTTTAAATCCATTCTCTTTTTGGTTTGATTTTAATCAAAAAAGGTAAAAGGATGAAACATGCTCAGTGTATGGCCTGACTAAATCATATACGATGTTTATAATGTAATATAGTAAGTTATACTAGGTAAAATATTTATCTTATGAGATATTTTACATTTATCAAAATTTTAAAATAACTATTTATATACTGGAAAATTTGATCAAATTAATATATATAATACATTGTAATTAAAAATCATAAATAATGTACAGAATAAAAATTACTTTGAAATTAGGGCATGTTTGTATTTTGATTAGTGTGTTAAAAATGAAAATGTCTTACCTTCAATCTGATTAAAATACAGATCTTGTTTTCAAGCTTTGCTTACAAGGATCTTAAAACTCTCTACTTTCTGTTTTAAAGACCTTTAGGGATCCTCTGGTTTTGTCAGATTAATATACACTTTCAAAAATTTGAAGGCTGAAATTTCATTGGCTTTTGATGTTATAATTACTGGAACAGAAAGTAAAACAGAGTATTGTCAGATCCTTGTAAGCAAAGCTTGGACACATGATCTATATCTTTATCAGATTGTATTATCTTGAGACATTGCTATGCCTGGCTGGTGAAATAATTTTTCAACAAATATTGTCTGTATTTTAGTCGAGTTAATATTTTCTGAAATCCATAGCTTTGGTAATGTTACTTATGAGTGAACTTATTGTAATGCAAGATTTTATTTTGTTAATTTAACATTCACCAATTAATAAAAATGTTTACTTTTAATTGTATTATTGAATGAATAATATTGCAGTACAGCTGTTTCAGTACAGATAAGATCTAATAGGTAAAACATATAATTTTCAAGCAAAATGGCTAAAATTAATCAAGATGTTATTTTCATGGCTTCCAATTATGAGTCCCCTACCGACGAAGTCATAGGGGACTTTAGGTTTGCACTCCGTCCATCCGTCTTTTCTGTCTGTCTGTCTGTCAGTTTGGCAAATCAGTTTTCCACACTTTTTAATGCCTCCGCCGTAGCGGAGGGGGCATTAAGTTTTACCCTTGTCCGTCTGTAAGTCCATACATAAAAAATACTTTTTGAATTTTGGTGGCGTCACTTTCTACTGTTCTAGAGTTATGCCCTTTAAAAATGGAAAAATTGCTTAATTTTTCGTTTCTGTTTTCTTCATGCTTGAAGATATTGATTTGATATTTGGCATATTGTTTTATCATGACAAGTTACAGTTCAAATTAGAATTTTGTTCCAGTCTGATGATTTTGTGCAGAGATATGGTCCTTTTACTTAGAAAATTCACTCAAATAATCAGTTTTCCACACTTTTTTTCTTCATGCTTGAAGATATTGATTTGAAAATTAGTATATAGTTTTATCATGACAAGTTACAGATCAAGTTCGAATTTTGTTCTGGTCTGATGATTTTGTGCAGAGTTATCTGCCTTGGACTTAGAAAATTCACTTAAATAATCAGTTTTCAACACTTTTTTTCGTCATGCTTGAAGATATTGACTTGATATTTGTTATATAGTTACACCATGACAAGTTATAGATCAGGTTAGAATTTTGTTCCAATTCAATGAATTTTTAACCGGTAGGGGACTATGTATTGCCATGCAATACCCACAGAATGCTTGTTATTAGCAGTATTTGGACCAGTTATAGATTCAGCCATTACTATAACTTTGCTTTGAACTCTTAAAGGACTTTTATAAACTTTCTGGACTTTTGCCCATAGAAAATAAAAGATGTGATATGATTCCAATGAGAAAACTATCCTTTAGAGACGAGATTATGTAGATGTAAGAAACAGTAGATAGAGAATAATCAAAACAAGAAAACATGTGTCTTGTCTGCTTAACTGATCATGATTGAATTTATAAAGTTGACATAATGCTTACAGTACCTGAGATACAGACCTGCCTTGAAAACCTAATATTGACTTGTGAACCATGAAAATGAGGTCAAGGTCAGATGAACTGTTCCAGACAGACATGTACACCTTACAATCATGCTATCAGAGACATATAATACAATTATTGTATTATATGTCTCTGATGCTATATACCAAATATATTTAACCTATTGCTTATATGTCTGAGAAATGGACAACCATGAAAACCAGACATTGACCAATGAAGCATGAAAATAATGTCAAGCTCAGATAAACCTTGCCAGACAGACATGTACAACCTTAAAATCATTTCATACACCAAATATAGTTGCTATTGCTTATAGTTCTAAAAAAGTACTAAAACACAAAACTTTAAAACCTATACTACTAAAACACAAAACTTAACATTGACCAATGAACCATGAAAAATGAGTTAAAGGTCAGATGAAACCTGCCAGACAGACCTGTACATCTTACAATCATTCAATACACCAAATATATATTGTTGACCTACTGCTTATAGTATTTGAGATACAGATTTTACCATGAAAACTTAACCTATATCACTGTTCCATGAAATCAGGTGAACCCTGTTTAATGGACATGTAGACCTTACAAGGACCCCATATACCAAGTATAGTTATCCTAATACTTATAATAAGTGAGAAATTGACATGACAAAAAAATATACATTTTGTTTAAGCAGTCACTGAACAAGGAAAATGGACTTTAACACACAAAAACTTTATAAAATAATGTATCTGTTTTCAAGGTGTGAAGCATCCAGTTCTTTTTCCCTGAAATATATAGCTTTCTGCAACCTCTGGATTGTAATCCCTATGTAATGCATTCAGCAACTTTCATCGCAGGCTAGACAAATATCAATTGAATAAGCTAGGCTTTATTCATCAGATTGACACGAAGCAAAATAAAAAAAATAAAAAATAAATAAAGACACTTTATACAGATCTTTGAGAACTGAGAGTTACTGAAAGCTAGAACAAAGCCAATTATCATACAACTATTGAATATATAATGTTTTCAAGACAAAAATATCAATCAGTAAACATCCAATGGATTTAGTGTAAGACGTTATTAACAGTCGGAGAAAAACATGACTTTTTGCAATGCCAAAATATAAGTATGGACAGTTTTCTAGAAAAACATGACTTTTTGCAATGCCAAAATATAAGTATGGACAGAACATAGGTCAGAAATTGTTCATAACTCTTAACTTACGAAAACATGAAGTTTTAAGTAATTTGTGGTAGCGAAATCCTAGAATTGACCTATTAATGTAAGAGTTATAAAATTGAGAATGGAAACGGAGAATGTGTCAAAGAGACAACAACCCAACCAAAGAGCAGAAAACAGCCCAAGACCACCAATGGGTCTTCAACACAGCCAGAAAATCCCAAACCCGGAGGCCGGCTTCAGCTGGCTCTTAAACAATAATGTATACTAGCTCAGAAAAAAAATGGATGTCACACTAAACTCCGAAACATATAAATGAACCAAAATTAAAAAAACATACAACACTAACGAAGGCCAGAGGTTCCTGACTTGGGACAGGCGCAAAAATGTGGCAGTGTTAAACATATCTTGTGAGATCTCAACCCTCCCTTATACCTCTAGCCAATGTGGAATAAACAAATACACCGACGGTAATACGCACAGTAAAATTCAGTTTAAAAGAAGTCGGAGTCCGATGTTAGAATAGGTAACAGAAGAAACTAAGTAAAATGACAATAATCAACATAAATTAACAAAGGACTACTTGCAGTAAGGGGACGACCATTTGATATTCTGGGGGGGGGGGGGGCAGGAGGATTTGTTTTGGATCGGTTATTCATTTTTGTAAACTAAGAGGACAGATTATTTATTTTCTGCACTGTTGAAGCAAGATTTTTCATTTTCATTAAAACAAGGGACTGATTATTCATTTTCATAACTATATTAATAATATTTGAAAACATACAATTTTTAAATTCATTTTTTATTATAAATAATACATGTACAGTCAAGTCATTAATGTACCATTTAATCAGAATTAATCATCATCCTCTGCGGAAATGAATCTTCTGAATTCCAAACTGCATATACATGTATTGCATACATACACGGTATTAGAGTTGGGCTGTGACTAGCCTCTTTTAAAAGTATTGCCAAATATATTTACGCCGAGCGGAGCGAGGCAAACAAATTTTGAAGGGTTTTGAAGCCCCTGAAGGCCCAAAGAAACTATAGAACACATGATGCAAAATCGTGCTTACTGGGCGTTCCCAGACCCTTTCTTATTCTGAAAACGCAAGTTCTGTTTTAATAATTTTTTGACAATATTTTGGTCTCAAAGCAAAATGTATAGATTCAGCGTAAGACTTAAGTTTTTATGGACAACATCAAAAGACCAATATGAAGAATAAAGTAAAAATGTAATTCACATAGTTAAGTATGTGGCTGCTGTTTTTTTTTTTTTTTTTTGTTGTTTCGGCATGCAGAATTTAAATCTTTTATATCTGTAAATAATATGGGGTTTTATTCAAATTAAGTTAAGAGGGGGCTGATTATCAGTGATGTAACTATGACAAGTAATTTTTAATAACACATTTCAATTACAACTTGATGTAGCTCTTAACTGGGATACAATTTAAAGTAGTTAAGTTGAAAAATTAGCTAAAAAGTCTTAAATAAAATAAAACTCATGATCAAGTTGAAAACAAAATTACTAAATCACAAAAGGAATGCAACACTAAGAGAATACAGAAGGGCAATCAATGAACAAAAGACAAATTTAAAGAAACATTGATCCTGAAAAAAACAGGTGCTACGTCCAAGGGAGAACAGAACTTGCTTCTTGCAAACACTCGCTGTGAAAACAATTTGATATGAAGACAAGCTTTTGGTTTTAAAATTTCCTACATAAAGGCATTTGCCTCAATGTAGTTACAGCCCTGTAAATTAATAAAAGTGAGGTAAGTGTTCCTGAGCCAATATACCTCAAGTTAATGAAACCATGTTCAGACATTTCAAGTATATTTAAATAATATTTATACCTTTATTATTAAAAGATTTGGGAAGTGTTTCCCGAATTTTTTTTTGAAAAAAAGATGAATTTTATGAAGAATCTGGTGCCACCTCATACTTTTGAATAGCATTTATAAAATGGCTTAAAGACCTGCCGAGTTATTCATTTTCAATACATTGTAAGTCAGGTTATTTATTTTCGAACTACCACAGAACAAACCATTTATTTTTGTGATTATCAAGGCGGAGTTATTTCTTTTCAAAATCCTCCAGGCCTCCAGTTTTGTTTAATTTATCAATTAAATGGAATTTAGACAGGTTTTTACTGAGTTTGGCCATAAACTGATTCATAATGATACAGGAAGTATCAGGTATTAAAGGGTCACAATTGATGCTAGTAGAGATGCCTACAATCTGTCAATAAACTTTTTTGCTGAATCATGAATAGATATTGTTATTGTGAAATTTAAATAATCTCATCACATTTCCAGAAAGAATAATGGCATATTATTTTTTTTTCATTTCAGAAGAAGGGTTTATATGAGTTCCAGCAAATAAATTTGCAATCAGATTTTTAAGGACCATTTAATTAAATAAAAACACTGTGTACATCAGACCTTCAGAATGAAACTTTTGATTTAATCAGTCCAAAATTATGTTTAGGTCTTCAACTGTGATTTAATTTCTAAATATAGAGGACCTATACAATCAGTAGTGACTAGTCAGCATACAATTGTCATATAGTCTAAAGTTTTTATTCAGCTAATGTTAACACTTCAATAAACTATGAAAAAATAGTCTTTATTACTTATAATTTCAATAAAATGCCTTATTGATACATGAAGTTTTG